AGCTGACTCGGCAAACGTTGTTTTACCATATATGATACATTATTTCGATAACTATACATGAAAATTTATCCTACTAAAATTATTATATTCGATTACCATCTTACAACCCTATTGCGGTATATAAAAATCGCGTTAAAAAACAGGGATTGATCGTAAAAGCGTGAAAATTTGACTTTGTATGTATTTTTCAATGCTAAATCATAATAAAATAAAAATAAAAATTTTTGTCAGTAAAATAAAAAAAAAAATTTAGGAGTGGGTCACCCTTATCATTGAGAGGTATGAAAAATAGATGTTGGCCGATTCTCAGACCTACCCGGCATGCACACAAAATTTCATAAAAATCGGTTATACTGTTTCGGAGGAGTTTGGTAACAAACACCGCGACACGAGAATTTTATATATTAAATTAATATTTACCTTTATAGTTGTTAATGTGTGAATTAAATCATTTTTTGTTGTATAAATTATATTATGTTTACATACTTGTTTAGCTGTATGTTTATATGCTATGTATGCATATTTTTGGAGAGTTAGCTTGAACAAAATATTACTGTACTGTAGAAATTAATGTAACATTGTTAATTCTCTGCAATGTGTACCTATTGAAATAAAATAAATAAAATTAAAATAAATAATAATAATGAAATTTTCCCCCTTCATTAACCAATTACAGAATCCCAAATCGTATAATGAACAATGTTATACTTTTTTTTGAGGGTAGAACAACAATTTAGTAACACACAAATTCCGATTACGGTCCATCTATGCAGCAAACATTCAAGCCCCTTCAGCAATTCAAGCGTGATCGAATAACAAACTTCCAAACGTCTCACGAAATTTACATTTACGAGTATTTTATAATACAAATATTAATAAGATTATTAGACATATAAAATCGTATGAAAGTATCTAAAATTAATATAAATATGTCAAGTCTTATCAGATAGTAACTCCATAACCGATTCGAGTTAAATATTATACTTATACATACGTACGTTACACTCGTGAAGTAATCCCAAAATCTCCGGAAAGCCTACAAACTTGATGTGACGTAAACATACACCGAGGAATTTCGGGAATACCCATGGATGTGGGAGAATTATATGGGGTTGAAAGCGGAGCGGTATCCCTTTAATTAATTAATTTTACATTGATTGTAGTTATATAGAGTGTAATATAAATAACAAACGTTCTTTTAAATGATCCATTTTTTTCTTATGAAACAGGTATGTAAAAAAATTTGAATATTCTTAACCTAAATGTAAATCGCCTAATTCATAAAAACTACTACTATCTACGAGCCTATTTTAACACTGTTTTGTCACTTTCTTTCGTGATGGGAATTTAGTGTAAAAAAAAGAGACAAAAACTTCAATAGGTTTCTGACTGATTTGACATTTTTATGAATATAGGGGGATGTATTGCTATATATTATTTCATATAAAAATAATATAATACAGTTTGATCGCCGAACGGGTAATACTAAGCTCCGAACAGTTGCAAATCATGTGTGGATGGAATGGCGGTCGGAGATTGAAGACTAGTACGGAAGGTTGTATAACTTCTGGTAACAATAATGGCAGTCAACTTTCGAATGTTGGCAGTCGCACACATACTAATGGTAGCGGAATTAAACAAAATATGTAAATTTAATCAACTAACCAATAACGTCTGCGTCATCCGCATAATAACAACTTATAAAATAAAACAAAAACAAATAAGAAATAGCAAATGTATTGAACAAAATTCTTGCTCTTAACATTCCGCTGGATAATCCGACTCTGCATACTGCTTCCGATAGTCTGCAATATTAGAACTATAAACAACGCTACAGAAATTAAACATGGGGCGCTATGGAATCGTAAGTCGTAACTACGGATTAATAATAATGTATGTACCTACCGAGTTACGTCATGTATTGTTGAAATATGCAAATTTAGGTACGTTGATGCGGCTTTTCTCGGATCGAACGCTGTTTGCCGAGCGAAATTGATTGTCTAATGATGGCCGGTGAATATCAAACGGTAATCTAATCAAAATATTTGTTATGGAGACTGTTAAATAGAGGATGGTGTAACGGCGTACATAAAATTCACAGATAGTAATAGTAAAAATATAATGAACTCCATTCTAGGCAGGGGTGATGTTGATACCGCACCAATATCTATTTACCAGTGGGAGACTTTGTACAAAAGTCGATTGCTTGGATACCTCAGTCCCATTCGTGTTTCAACCGTGAAGCAGTTGTGTTTACATGGCTGTGTTTAGTTTGAATGGTGGGATAAGTCACAATATATATATATAAAACTATAATTGTCACATATTTTTCACCACATCTGCCCTTCATACGCTTTCTGTTTTTACCCAATGGTTAGCTGGTAGAGAATGCCATATGGCATTAAGCTCGCCATTTGTACAAAATTTTACTGTGCAATAAAGAATAAATAAATAAAAATAAATAAAAAAATATGGCGTGAATTTACTGGGTACAGAGGAATAACACCTGAGTCCTCAGGAATGGCAACGCATGGGTGGTATCATGGGCGAAACAGTATACTCTGTTATGTCCATGGTACTGCTCATGTGTATAGGCGACGGTTACCACTTTCCATCAGATGAGTCGTCAGCTTGTTTGCCATTCTAAGTTGTATAAACAAATATCTATATATCGGGTTTTTTGGATTTTGACGGTGGAAAAAAAATCATTACCCATTCCGATATCGTTCGGATATCTATATTTCGATTGGGTTCTTAAATATTGGATAACAGACATTTACCATATTCGTTGTTTTTTTTAATGGATTTTTTTTTAATGGATGATAATGGAATGGTAACCCTGCCTGCGCTATTGGTATACACAGGCGGAGCATCAGTGAGGGATGATTGGTAAAGATGAAAAGGCAGATCAGTTAGCTCATCGTGACAAATTCAACTATAGTCACGATTCCGATCGAATTCCACATGGTTCCCTCTGGAAACCAGAGGGAACCATGTGGAATTCGACCTAATAGGGTATATTGCTAGTAATGGGGCTATTTGACCTCATTAGTAACACCCATACCCTTTCCCCCCATATTCATTGTTGGGCATATAGATATAGCTGAATATTGCCGACCCCCTACTCCCTTCTACTTTAATCTACCAGAACCACAGGTGTAGTATGGTCAACGGTCACTGTAGCCAATGGACTCGTGCAACAATAGGAGTATCACGTGCACATTGCAGACCCTGAAGAAACCTTAATATATCCTTTTTGAAAAAACCTTTAGACTACAGGTCTTCAGGAAAAACTTTGGCAGAGTGCTGAGCGTTCGCGGGAAAGAATTTAGGTAGGTAATAAGCATAGAAGGGTGAATTCCCTGTTGATGTCGAGCGGCGCGATGATAAAAGATGGCTGTAAGAATAATTTCAAAAAATTCCATGGAACAATCTGTTATACAAGCGATAGAATATTACAAAGGGAGGCAGTCTCGCCTTAGACATACACATAAGGCCTTAGACGTACATACGCATACAACCTGTGAGCTTGGGATCGTCGATATAAAACCCATGAGAAATATAAAGTTTTTTTTTATTAACATTATGAAATTTTTAAATAATAACAATTATTTCGTATAAAAATGATTATTAAAAATAAAAAGTGCGTTAACTGGTCGCAAACTGGCACATTCACCCTACGTATATCGACATGGAGGGAGCCCATTTCCTTCGCCTTATTACCGACGTGGTACCGACCATTGTGATGTCATACACAAAGTTTTTGATATCAACGATGTCGACAGCCCGGAGCGATGCAGATGTTATCTTGAAACTTTTTGAGTCGACGACAGGTTACCGATAAAACGGAGCAGTCTTTCGTCTCTCTGTAACAGAACTGAGATTATTGATTTTATGAAACAAAGTATATAATTATCCACTGGGCAGGTAAAGAACATTGTTTTTTTTTTTTTATACAACTTAAAATGGCACACAAGCTGACGGCCCACTTGATGGAAAGTGGTAACCGTCGCCTATAGACATGAGCAGTAGCATGGACATAACAGAGTATACAGTTTCGCCCATGATACCCCCATGCGTTGCCATTCCTGAGGACTCAGGTGTTATTCCTCTGTACCCTGTAAATTAACTCTTTTTTCATTACAGGTAGATTTATTAGAAGAGAGACTCTGCCTTTTTCATGGCACTTTCTTCAACGCACAGATACGCTTTGGAATAAACTTCCAGCACCAGTATTTCCGAACATATACGAAATCATAACCTTCCTTTTTAAAAGGCCGGCAGTACACCTGTAATATCTCTGATATTGCGGGTGTTCATAGATGGCGGTAGTCTCCATCAGGTGAACTGTATGCTCAGGAGGGAAAGGGATTGTTAGTAATGGAGACTGAGAATCCCATTGTTAGCAATATACCCAACCAGGTCGACCTCCTCGCGGCTCCCCCTGGAAACTATCATGGTTAATTCCTGATGAGATCATCATGATGGGCTTACTAGACTGTTTTCATTCTCATCTATCACCCTTCACTGGTGCTTCGCCAGCGTATCCCGTTAGCGCAGGCGGGGTTACCATACCATTTTCACCCAGCAAAAAAAACTGTATGCTCATTTGCCAGGTGTTACAAAAAAAAACTAAACTAGAATCGTTCTATTAGTTGCCTTTGCCTTAAGTTTTACAAAAACAACTATACTTCCATGGTTGTAATGTTTGGTTTGAAGGGTGGGATATAGCAGCGAGATTACAGGGCTTAGATAGATAAGAGCGTACTCCTAAGGTACGGAAACGCATAAGCGTCACATACCATGAGCGTCACAGTATATTGTTCATGTCTATATACGACGCCTGCCATTTTCTAAGTTTGTTTGCCCTTCTAAAATGCATGAAATATATAAAATCGTTATCCTTAAACAGTATTTCAATAAGAAATACCTATTTTAAAAAAAAAAGAAAAATATGCACATGACTAGGGTAATATAAATAGATAAATAAATAACAACAATTTTGACGACATTTTATTTAGGTATAGGCATTACGTAATATTACAAAATAAGCCTAGAAAAAAAATACATGAATGTGTTGCCATTTTAAAATTACCGAATGGAGAATTTTAAATTATGCACTCATTTTTATTTCGGAAACGGAACGTGAATCTTGAACATAGAAACTAACAGATTAAACATCTAAATACGTTTATAGCCAATTATCAACTAACAGCCAGCGTTATTACCTACTTAATCCATTACTAATATTTTATTTTAAAATTTAATACGCAGGCGCTTAGTGACCTCTATAAAACAATATACAAGTACGTACAACTATAAAAAAAAATACGAGTATTAATTCTTTTTTTAATTTTATTTTTTATCGACTTAGGAAACTACAGCATAATATAGGCGGTATCTGTCAACAAAGTTCCACTGGTGAGTATTGGTCCTTATGAATCAAACATACGTGTCAAACTACCTCATATTATGATGAAAAAGTGACCTACCATGAAAATCTATCACAAAATTTTCTAAACCGAACAATACGTGAATAATTAAATTCGTGACAGAAATATTTGTTAATAAATGCTATATCGATAGCTATTCGGCGTATTTATAATTCTTAAAACGCTCATACACTGCTACTTTCTCACTACAGCAGTATACCAAATTTTAGCTACACATACTGGCTTTATGAAGCTAAATTTTTAGGTGATTAGCGATCAAATTAGATTGTGAATTAATTGCATTACGTCTAAACATAATAATTGTATTCATAGCGGTCACTACAGCGCATCTCCTAACACTTGTCATATTTCATTACTACCATTTTCTACTAATAAAAAACGGGCAATTACGTTCGGCTCACATAAATAGTGACAGATTGTTGATGTCAGAAAATTTCGTAGGCAATTAGTTAACCAAATTGTCTAGTGTTCTGTAATATTTGGCAACATAGTAGAAAAATAGACGAATACGCTTGATTTTTAATAGTAGAAAATGGTAGGAAAACGACAACACCTAAAGTATACAATTTACAAGTGACAAATATTTTAAAAAGTGAACATGACTTTGTGACATGTATGACACAGGTACAAGTTAAGAGAAATAAATGCATTGTAATGGCACTAGACCAATAATATTCATGTCAAATATTTTGATATAGACTGTGAATTGAGATACATCACTAAATGACTGTTTTTCATTATGTGTTAGCGAATATCATATTTAAAAACACATTTACGTTATATTTAAAATGATGATTCAAACAGATAATTAGAAATAAATCTTACTTTAAGGAGACATTGATATTTGCTATAGTATTCTATATAAATAACTTGTTATAATTTAAAATATTTTAGCAATATAATCTAATGCATATAATGGTGTACCACAATCACTATTATTAATAATTAGTGAAAAACTAACAACAACTTAAATAACAAAATATAAAGTGAAAACATCTAAACTTGACAATAGATCATGTGCTTATACTACAAATTGGACTTTAATATATTTTATATAGACATAATTAAACGCTAAAGTGGCGTTGGGTTATAGTACCAGGCATCCACGATATTACCACTGAGGACTACACATTTAGATCTATGTAAGTGATTGGACAAATCGACAGAGGGCGTACCCATCGAGGGTATATTGGCCAAATTGAAGAAGTGGTAAAGCCAAATCAGTGGTACGAAGAACTGTGAAGCATCATGACATTTTAGAAGATGACGAATGTTGAGGAATCAAACTGAGGCGAGCCAACAGTCAAACACAACAGGTTTCAAAAATGACAATTCGAACCGGTTTCATTGAAATCGTAACAACTGTTCCAAACCGATCTGTTGGAGTTTGGAGTTATTGCTATTTTAGAATAACTGTTATTTTGGAATTGTAGTTATTTTAGAATAACTGTTATTTTTGAATTGTTGCTATTTTGGAATAACTGTTATTTTGGAATTGTTGTTATTTTGGAATAACTGTTATTTTGGAATTGTTATTATTTCAAAATAACTGCTATTTTAGTACTGTTATATTTTAGAACAGGCCAATACAACTGTTGTCAAACTGGAACAGGAACATTTCATATGTTATACATATATATACAAGTTCCTTATTTTACCAGTTTCAAACCACCACTAGAATAAAGTTATATAAAAGAGATAAACAGTGTAAATGTGTATTTAATCACCAATCCATTATTATAACCTACTTTCCTACAAAACTTCATATGAGTACATGTCACATTCTTGGCAGATTACATTAAAAGATAGTAATATTCAAAAATATATAAATTATTCTATATGAAGTTACGTTTGGATGCGTAAGAATACAGGATAACATACAATGTTTTCTTTTAAATGGATATTAGTAATTATAAAATACGGAAATAATAATAAAAATTAAAAACACAGCCGTATAATTAGAAAACGGTACGAAGACCTTTTTGACGTTTGACAGACTATTGACAGATTTCAGAACACACTGCGAATTTTGTACCACACTATTTGTTTATGCGAATTAGGGATGGGAGATCATATGTATGAAGTATTTACTGTACTAGTAGTATATTAAATGTATGAACCTATACAGTTTCCATGTAGACTAAAAAATTCGCAGTGTGCATTAATGCTAAGACATAAAACATGCATCACATTATATATAAAATACTTTAAAATCTTCGTACCGTACCGCTAACATATTTAGGAATGATACATGTAAATCTAAGTGCATAAACTTTTTCAAACCACGACAATTTTTTTATACGTTATTAATAAAAAAAAAATCTAATTATTTATGTCAACTTTACTCGTACTCACAGCTGCTCGGGACACAGCCATGAACCATGCTTATGAATAAGGGCTCCTGTTGAATTCGAAACTAGTCCCCGAATATAAAACTTTAGTAAGTCAACATAAATAAATTACAATAGAGTATGACTCACGATAGTTATTAGTAAAAATAAATATTTTGCTATATAATACTGCTTTGAAATAAATAATACTGGTGAACTAAATGGGTTCATTACTCTAAAACAGTCTCTAAAATTAAAATCACAATTTAATATAACAGCGAAATCTTTAAGTACCAATATAAACTAAATCTCCAATAAATTTATGTCTAAATTATTGTAAATTTAATTTATGATGGTCCATAAAATAATAATTTCGCGAAATTATCAAATTAAAATTTTACGTTAAGACAGGTTACGTTTATGAAGCTTATAATTTTATGAAATAGCGTCTCAGAATTGGCCCATGTTTTAAAACCCAATGTCTAATTTTTAAATTCCACAATAATTTAACTTAAATAAAGACGTCCTTTAGGCCGTTCTCAAATATTTCCAATTAGTTTTAGAAAGAAATTCATTATCTTGGTCTCATTTTGCAGATAAATGCCACACCTTCAAACCAATCTAATCCTCGATTTAGGATACCTTAGAGAGAGATCAGACTAGGAAAATCTGAAGACAAATCAGATCACTCAGACTCAAAATTATTTTAGATAAGTTCATTTCTTTCGTTGCCCCAAAGCATGCCCCAAACTTGTTTCAGGGCATAGAATGGGCCACCCCTTCCTCTCCAGTGGATGTTATAAGAAGTGACTAAAGGAAATTAATGGTCAAAAGATGGGGAGTAGTGACCGTCGAAACGTCGACCAAAACATCACTAAAAGCGTAACTGCGGTTGTCAAACTACCTGCCAAGCATGGAAATTATTGGCAACTCCTCCCCCCCCCCTTATGGGGGAGGCCTTATATTCCGCAGTAGACAGTTAATGATCGATATGCTATGACAACTGCCTGAAACAATCGTCAAACTTGGATCCTACAGCCACGGAAACCTTAAAAATCTGAATTCCTTTCCAAAACAATTGAAATGAACAAAAATTTTTACAAATACTTTGGAATACAAATGAGATCATGTATTTGGATCATAACCATAATTGAAAAAAATAAAAACATACAAACCAACACTACAATTTTAAAATAAAACTACAACGTTTTATTGCCTTATTTCTGTCTCATAACAACTGATATAAAAATTAATAGTTGAGAATTACAGTTTTAAAAGTTGAGATTGCCAATCTTATTTTATCCCTCACGACACAATCGTACATTTTGATTCAATACACTCATTACACTTAATCGATTACATAAAATATTTAGTTTGATCATTGGTAAAAAGGCGTGTGCTGTGATCATTGGCAACAGTTGTGTGCTGTGACCATTGAGATCAAACGTGTGTTGTGATCATTGGCAACAGTTGTGTGCTGTGACCATTGAGATCAAACGTGTGTTGTGATCATTGGCAACAGTTGTGTGCTGTGACCATTGAGATCAAACGTGTGTTGTGATCATTGGCAACAGTTGTGTGCTGTGACCATTGAGATCAAACGTGTGTTGTGATCATTGGCAACAGTTGTGTGCTGTGACCATTGAGATCAAACATGTGTTGTGATCATTGGCAACAGTTGTGTGCTGTGACCATTGAGATCAAACGTGTGTTGTGATCATTGGCAACAGTTGTGTGCTGTGACCATTGAGATCAAACGTGTGTTGTGATCATTGGCAACAGTTGTGTGCTGTGACCATTGAGAGCAAATGTGTGTTGTGATCATTGAGAGCAAATGTGTGCTGTAATTACCAAGATCAAATATGTAATAATTTTAGTGACACTAGATGTATTGTGTGTCGTATGTGTGCTTGATGCCGTACGCCACAGTAGCACTGCTCCTCTAAGCCTGGCTACGCTCGTACTTGAGCAGCTCGGCCATGTTGCTGATCTGAATCTCCTGGATGTGTTGTCCAGAGAACTGAATGTAGTCGTGCTGGGGCTCGTCTGCCGACCGCTTGCGTACTGTAACACCGATAAGTTAGGTTAATTTAGTGCCTATTCTTTTTAATGTAATTTATTATTTTTTTAAACAATTTACAAAAGAATTAGGATGAAAGGAAGAAAGGCAAGAATGTTAGTAATGCGGATTACTAGTCCAATAACAATATATTGTAACCGATCGACTTCTCTGTGGTCTTCCCTGGAAATCATCGTGCTGAATTTCAAGTGTATTCATCACGATGGGCTAACTGACCTGCCTTTTCGTTCTCATCTATCATCCCTCACTGGTGTCCCGCCAACGTATGCCGTTAGCGCAGGCGGGGTTACTATTCCATTATCATCCATTAACCACTTAAGCATCTCGAACGAGACCATCTCGCGCATCAAATGTTTACGCTATATCGAGTACCTCCCGCCACTTACAAATATTATGTTTATATTTTTATTTGAAACTATACCTTCTCGCCCGTTTGTATTTCATAGAGCTTAGTGTATATTTATTGTATGCTTGTTCGAATTTATTGCGTACGTCAGTTGATCTCATTTCACAGAAAAACTCTCGCATTAAGTTGGCGTTTTCTAACGTGGAGTTCACGCCCCAGGGGGGGGGGCAATATGATAGCTAGGGGGGGGGGGGGGCAATTAAAAAATTAAAAGATTTGAAGCGATTTTAACCTTTTGCTCCGAGCCATTTAAATGCAATGCTACGAGTTGATATCGGTGTTAAATTACACAAAAAAAAAAAGTTAATTAAAAAAATACTGTAAATTTCATTTGACGTTACCAAAATATCAACTAGCAATTAGAGCCATCAAGTAAACTTTGTCGGGAAAAATTATGTATGGGGGGGGCTTTAAAAATTTTAAAAGTGTTCAAGTGGGGCGTGGCACAAAAAAGGTCGGTTCATAATAATAGGAGCGGTGAACCAACCGAGCATGTCCCCGGGCGCGGGCGCGGGCGCGGGCGCGGGCGCGTGCAGCATGTAGGAGGGCCGGTGGCGGCACGCGTCGGCGCGCAGCGCGCGCAGCAGCGCCGCGCCCGGCGCCGCGCGCGGCAGCGCCGCCTGCAGCGCGCTGCGCACGCGCGACACGTCCCAGCCGCCACCCGCCGCGCCAGCAGCGCCAGCGGCGATGCCCGCCAGCAGCTGCGGCGGCGGCAGCACCAGCGACGCCTCCAGCGGCATGAAGAAGCACCGCTCCTTGTCCACGATGCCTGCGAGATCACCGGCGCGTCTTATCCAGTGCAAACCACTTACAGAGCATTAACAGTTGGCCCGGACCCCGTACGCTGATACACGTAATCGATAGACTGTAAATGACTCGTGACTCCCTGAACCTGATCTAGCATCTAACAACAACATGGACATCTCTTGCCCGCCGGATGATGTGTGGGCGGGCGAGGTAGGGGCCTCGGGGTGTACCCCACTACCCCGGCTTCTACTCCGGAGGCGACGACCTCCGGGTCACTGGGTTCTTCGGCCTGCATACACTGATGGTCTGTGTATGCCGGAATCTTGTCCTATACGGTTGGCGGAAGGTTAATTAATAATTCGGCAAGTAATAATATATTATTTTGAACAATCTTAACCGATTGTTATTGTTAAAAATAATATTTTAAGTTAAGATTAATAATCACTATACCAGAGGGAGACTTTATACAAAAGTCGATTGCTTGGATACCTCTGTCCCATTCGTGTTTCAACCGTGAAACAGTTGTTTGCATGGCTGTGTTTCGGCTTTGAAGGGTGGCATATGGCGTGAATTTACTGGGTACAGAGGAATAACACCCGAGTCCTCAGGAATGGCAACGCACGGGGGGTATCATGGGCGAAACAGTATACTCTGTTATATGCATAGTACTGCTCATGTCTATAGGCGACGGTTACCACTTTTCATCAGGTGGACTGTCAGCTTGTTTACCATTCTAAGTTGTATAAAAAAAAAAAAACTATAGATAAATACAAATCAATAATTTAAACCATACTTAAATAAACCAACGATGCTCACCAGTCATGTTGATGTTAAAGTTGTGAATGAACTCCACGTTGCGGCCGTTATCGATGACGAGGATACGCTCGAAGTCGTCGTCGATCTCGAGCCGCTCCAGCAGTTCATCCACTTCGTCCCCGCCCTCGCCCGCGCCCGCCGTCGCGAACACTTGCACGTCCGCGTCCGGCCCCGTGTGCCAACGCAGCTGCGCCTCCTGCGGACAAAATGTTCAAATATTTATTAGACAAAATAAAAAGAGGCCTTAGATTATATAAATAAGATTGTCTCCATAGAAATGCTTTGAGAAAAACGGATCAACTTTTTCATACAATTTTGCGTGATAAATACGTTACGAGTGATTCCTTTATAACTTTTATATTTATTTTGTCTTATAATCTCTGCATCTTTTTAATGCGTAAATATTCATTTTATTTATTAAATATCACGCCAAAATATATTTTATGCATAAGTATATAGAATACTAATAAAAAAAACGAGTCAGCCAATTTGGCAATTAGTTGGCTAAAAGTTGAATCTAAGGAAGAAACTATAAAAACTATCTGCTTGAATACCTCTACTCCAATCATGTTTCTGTTGTGCTTATGTTTCTATCATCATCATCATCATCAGCTATTAAGTGTCTACTGCTGAACATGAGCCCTCCCCAGAAGGGGAGTTTTGCCAGTCGTTGTCATGCTTGGCAGGCGGGTTGGCAACCGCAGTTAGACTTTTAGTTATGTTTTTAGAGGGACGCTACTACCCATACCTCGCTCTCCTTTAGTCGCCTCTTACGACACCCACGGGAAAGGAAGGGGTGGCCCATTCTATGCCGACACCTAGACAGCTTTATGTCGACAGGTTTATGTCTATAAGCGACGAATATCACTTCCAATCAGGTGGGCTTTAAGCTTGTTTGTCATTCTAAGTATTATAAAAGAAAAAGGTGAAAAGGTGGCATTTTCTAAACAAAATAGCAAAATATATATTTCAAAATAGTCATAGCTTTCGAATACAAATACTTACTAAGAACATATATACCCATAAAACAAATAAAAATATAGATAGATAGATACTCTATTGTTTCCTCCAAAAGATTACAATAGTAAACTTATACTAGATATAAACAATTACAAGAAATAATCACAGTGAGAAAACAATAGGCGACCTTATCGCTAAAAGCGATCTCTTCCAGACAACCTTTGGATGGAGAGGAGTAATTATAAACAGTTTGATCGGAGGCACGATGAAAATTCTATTATTTCTAAATAAGGAAATGTGATACATGTAATAATGTAAATATATATATATTATTTTCCTTTTATGTTTACTACAATTTTAATATTTTTCCTGTACTATATTAGTATGCCAATGACAAAATAAATGACTAATACAACCACAACACTTTACTACTAACATATTCGAAACAGCTGTAATATAACTGAAATGGGGGAAAGAATTGGTAGTAATGTGAACTATCATTCCCATTACTAGCAAGATGCTCTGCCAGGTTGACCTCTTGACCCTTGACTTGTTAGTTGACCCTTGTGGTACCCCCTGGAAAAGATTGTGCTCAATTCCAGGTGTATTCATCACGATGGGCTAACAGACCTGTTTTTTCAGTCTCACCTAGATTCCCTCACTAGTGCACCGTCAGTGTCCACCATTAGCGAAGATGGGATTATCAATCCATTATCATCCATTTAAAAAAAAAGAAATTTAACTAAAGTAGACAGGTATAAACCAGATGTATGTGTGTAACATACATGACACATTCACTATTTACCATAAAGTAGATGGTAAAAAAGTCAAGGGTGTTTTTTTTTTGATGGGTGAAAATGGTATGGTAACTCTGCCTGTGCTAATGGGATACACTGACGGAGCACCAGTGAAGGGTGATAAATGAGAATGAAAACAGGCCAGTTAGCCCATCATGATGAATTCATAAGGAATTAACCATGGTAGTTTCCAAGGGGAACCGCGAGGAGGTCGACCTGGTTGAGTATATTGCTAGCAATGGGATTCTCAGTCTCCATTACTAACAATCCCTTTCCCCACCAAGTCAACTGTGTTAAACATAGATAAATATTAAGGGTATGAATGGAAGATAAAAGTGAAAAATTAACTTAGGTTACTTCAGGGTATCTATTCATACCCTTTACTTAATATAACTTGAGCATTGTAAATACTTAACTGCTTAATATATTAAATACTAGCGGCCCGTCCCAGCATCGCACGGGTAGAGATTTTTACATTTTAAAAAGTAGCCGTTAAATCTGCACATGCAACGGAAGCTTAAAAATGGAGTAACTTCTACCATTTTCCCAACATTTCTCTTCACTACTCTGCTCCTATTGATCGTAGCGTGATGAAAAGTATACTATATAACCTGCCCAGGAGTATGAAGAATAATTATACCAAGTTTTGTTAAAATCCGTCGAGTAGTTTTTGTTTCTATAACGAACATACAGACAGACAGACAAAAATTTTACTGATTGCATTTTTAGCATCAGTATCAATCACTAATCACTCCCTGATAGTTATTTTGGAAATAAAATAAGTATATAGATTTAGATTGTAAATCCATAATAAATACTACAAAATAACACTAAAAAATACTAAAACATACTAATAAAAAACATAATAATAAACTACTAAAAAATATTATAGTTTTTAAAAGCTGTGGATTTTGCAACAAATATATAAATAATGTTTTATCATCAAACTGAAAAAGGTGTACAAGTGGAACTAAGTTGTCTATAGTGGAGTATTAACATTTTTTAAAGAACATAATTAAAAAATACACCCACCGGCTTGGGTTCCATTGGTATGGAGCAAAATACGTGGAAACGGTGGACAGCGTTGCTGCGCAGGTACTGGCGGTACAGCAGAAGCCCACTGACGATGCCGGTGACGGCCATCATCAGTGCGATGATGGACATGCATAGCAGGCCTCCAGTAGAACGTTTCTTCTGCGCCCAGTAGGCCGGTGGAGCATGTACTTCTACTTTCTCCTGAGGAAAAATAATGGTTTCAAGTTAAAGAGTTTAAGAATTATGATCTTTATTATAAGAACCTGTCTTATGAACCAAGAACTCGATGAGTTGCCTTCACATAAAAAGACTTGTGCAGAATAAAATGCTAAAAAGAACGCAATGAAATTAAATTATTATTTTTATAAAAAGGCACTCACCTCATCGCAAATAGTTGTATCGTGAACCAACGGAGATTCCGTTACGTCTGATTTCTTGATTATTATACTTGGTTTCGTTAAAATGGTCATTTTGCCCTAATAATTAAACTTGTGCGCATTTAGACACAAGAATAAATAAATCGATCGATACCGTATTTATATACGTATCGTGAGAAAGGGAAGAGTCCATTTTTTTTTTTTTTTAGTACATTTGTTCCGTTTGGAACAGGCTAAGGTCGGAGACCATGCTGCCTAGTCTTCAAAAAGATAATTTGTCTGGAATTTTATTTTTCTAATGTCGCTTCAATTATTGTCATAATCTTCAATATTTCATTTGTCAAATCCGGTAAGTACATTTTCATAAATATCTTTTCTTGAGTTTTCTTAAACCAGTGGATTTATCAAATTAAAAATAAATAATTATAAAAAATCATTGTCTTGCAATTCAATAAAAGTATTCTTATAGCTCCTTGAATGTTGTAGTAATATAAGTGAAAATAGCTTTGAAACAAGAAGGAAATCTTAAGAGAATCGGGATTGAGTGCGGGATATTTTCGGGTTTTTTGAAGATAATCCTAAGTTCGTCAAACATAATGTGTCTTTGAATGACAAATTCAGAGCAATCAAAAAAAAGGTGATGTAGAGATTGGGCTGTATTTGAGTTACACCATGTGCATGATGGGGAAGCGATCATGCCCATTCGGTGCAGGTGTTCGTTGAAATGTCCGTGGCCGATTCGTAATCTACAAATATTGGTATAAAATTTTCTGTTTGTGTCCTTTCCTTTGCAGAACCACGGTTTTCCAATACGCCAATTAATTTTGCGGTACCATTTGCCTTTAGTCTGTAATATTTGAGTCCAATGCTCCTCCCATTTAGTTGTAACGATTTTATGTATTCCAATACTACAATCTGAGTAACAAAGGGGTAAATCTTGAACACGAGCAGCACTTGAATTAATAATTTTAGCCAAAGTGTCTACTTGTTCATTCCCAAACACTCCAATATGTGAAGGGGTCCAGATGAAGATAATATCTTTTCCATATATAGTACAGAGATGATAATATTTATTACGAATTTCTTGAATTAAGTAGTTTGATGATGAAATGAATGTGTTATTTTTTAATGCCATAAGAACACTCATACTATCTGTAATTATAATCCATTTCGAATATAGTACCTGTTTTTCTATGTATTCTAATGCTAAAAATATAGCTTTTGCTTCTGCTGTGTAAATACTAGCCAAAGTTGAAATTTTATAACCGTGACCAAATCTATTTGACAAATCGTAAAAAGCCACTGAAGTGCTAAGTGCATTTTTGGAACCATCTGTATATATCTGCCTGTAGTCAATAAATTCTGATAAAGTCTCATACATATCGTGCTTTTCTTTTATGTCTTTACGTATAACAATTTTGATCTTACAGAACTTACTCTCATAAAGGCCATTATAACAAGGAAGTATCTTACTACTATAGATGTTATATTCATCTCGTAAATTCAAATCATTGACAATAGTTTTATTCAAAAACATAGAAATGGGGCAATTTAATAATTTGAGTATGAGTGGGTTATTGGAAACTGAAAAAACTTTGAAGAGAAATTTGAGTTTTAGGTATTCGAAACGAAGAAGAATAGGAGGCAAATTACATTCTACTTGCATTGAGATAATTGGAGAAGTATACATAGCACCTAAAATAAGTCTTAAATTCATATTTTGAATTTTTTCGAGTTTTTCTACTAATTTATGTTCTGAGGCATAACAAAAGAAAGCGTAATCAAAATTACTTCTAACAAGAGATTTGTAAAGTAAAAGGATAATTTTAGGATCAGCTCCCCAGTTACGACCAATTACAGATCTTATTATATTAGTGGCTCTTAAAGCACGATCTACTAAGCAATCAACGTATAGATCCCATTTTAAATTTTGATGAAAAATTACCCCCAGAAATTTAACGCTACAGTCTGTTGGAAGAGTTTGATTATTATATATAATATTCATTAATGGAACATATTTATGAACTTGATGAAAAACAACTACTTTACTTTTGGTTAAACTAATATCGAGGGAAAGAAGAGAAAAATATTTCTCAAGTCTTTTTAATGACTCATTTAACACTAATTGCATATCAATAATATTCTTTCCTTTTATATAAATTAATAAATCATCGGCAAATTGCAAGTTGTTCACACTGTTTCCTAAAATTGAATTAAGTTTATAGATATATAAAATATATAGTAGCGGGCTTAGAATACCACCTTGACATACTCCTTTAGAGCTTAACCTAGGTCCTATTAATTTACTATTTACTTTAACATACACTTCTCTATTACTAAGAAAATTATAAATCCATTCGATAAGTTTCATTGGAAGAAATGAGGATAAAATCGAAGATAGAACTGTTAAATTTACATTGTTAAAAGCTCCTACGACATCTAAAAAAACAGATAGAACATATTCATCGTTATTCAAAGCAGTACTAAGGTCGACATAGAAGTTCGCTAAACTTTCGCGCGCTGAATATCCACGGCGAAAACCAAATTGATTCGATGGTAATATACTATTACTTTCAATAAAGAACTCTAAACGCTGTTTAATTAATTGTTCGAATAATTTGCCTGCACAGGACGTCAATGTTATAGGTCTATAGGAGTCGAAATTTGTAGGATCTTTACCGGGTTTAATTACTGGAATCAAACAATCCATTTTCCATTCTGGTGGGATAATACAGTCCTTCCATAAATCGTTAAAAATTTGTAAGAGTTTAGTAAGGTTTATTTTATTCAGCAATCGAAACATATTGTATGTTAAGCGATCAAGGCCACTAGCTGTATCTTTTCTAGATTTTACTGCACTGGATATTTCATCAATTGAGAATGGGTCAGTGAGAAATTTTGGGCATGAATTAACAGAATTAAACTGTTTGTCATCAAAAGGTGAGTGTACAAAATCAGGAGTATATTTGCGTAAAAAATCATTGACCCATGATATATCTTTAAAATGATTTTGACGATGTTTTGAATTTAGTTTTCTCATATTTTGCCAAACAGTGGAAATTGGTGTTAATCTATTAAATTTGGAACAAAATTCCTGCCACCCCTGTTGTCTTACTTGCTTAATTACTAACTTTTTAACAGCTTGAACTCTTTTAAAATTTATGTAATTATCGAGAGTTGGATTTTGTTTAAACCTAAGGTAAGCCGCTTTACTATCATTGACAGCTGTCGCACACCTGTTATTCCACCAAGGTACTGCAATATGTTTGTGCCTCTTTGAAGTATTTGCACCGCTATTTGATAAGTTCCTACGTGGAACGGAACGTTCCACAGCTGTCAAAATAATTTTACAGAACCTATTGTAATTGTTTAAGGGTTCATTGACATCATACTCGAAATCCAAAAGTAATTGATTAACAGTTTCAGAATAAAGATCCCAATTAACGAGACGTAGGTTTATACGATTTAACAAAAGTTTATTAACTTCATCTATAGGAGCATGTTGTTCACCTGACGTAGTTGATGAAGAGTTCTTTGTGTTTATTTTAGTAAAAGTCGGCAGGTGATAACTTCCTAACGGATCATCATGAACCGACCACTCGCATTTTAATGATATGGATGGGGATACCATAGTTAAATCAAGGCCATTGGGTCTCCAAATATGAGAGCCAACAGTAGTAACTTGCTTATCATTTAATAGTACCAAATTACATTCATCTAAACAATCAAGAATGTCTTTACCTCTTGTATTAGTGGAGGTACAACCCCACATAGTGTGATGTGCATTTAAATCTCCAGATATGATAGTGGGTTTAGGAAGAGACTCCAAAAAGAACTTAAATTTGGCTTTAGTAAAACTAGGTGTACTATTGGTAGGACAGTAAATACTGGCAACTGAATACCAAGAATTATTAACTTCAATACTAATAGCTATAGTTTGCAAAGAATTGTCGAAAAAAGAGTGAAGTTTTTTATATCTAATACTATTATGTATAATAATCGCTACTCCATTGTGGTTATTACCACAATCATTTCGTTCTATACAATAATCTTTAATTTTTAATTTGTAATGTGGTTTTAGCCAAGTTTCTGAGATGAGAGCAATGTGAATATGATGTTCATTTAAAAATTGTGTAAAAATATGTCGATTGCTCAGTAGGCTCTGAGCGTTCCACTGTATGATAGTTAATTGGTCTCGATTGAATTTTGTGAAATAGGTGTATTACCAAAAGTATCATATAACACATTCAAAACACTTTTAGTGTTAATAGATGTGTTCTTTGTGTTATGTAGTGAAATAAGTTTGATTATGCTTTCTATTAAAAGTGATAAACTCTTGTTATCAGAATTTAGAATTGAAATTAGGTCTACATTTTTTTTAGGTTTGTTACCCAGTTTAGGAAATATTTCAGTGCTAAGTATATCTCCAAAAGAAGCAGGTCTGAATTTAGATCTATTTTCAGCAATTTTCTTTTGTTTAACAGGGCATTGCGGTGATACACTTGTGTGATTTCCATTGCAGTGTACACAAATAGCGTTTTCCATTCCAGTTGTACAAGTTTTATAATTATGCTCACCTTTGCAGATGCTGCAACGCTCAGAATTCTTACAGAATTTAGCTAAATGTCCATACCTCAAGCACCGGTAGCATTGTTTAACTGGTGGTATATATGGAGTGACATTGTGGCGCCAACCTCCAATATCCAGATATTCAGGTAATACAGATGCAGCAAAAGTAATTGTCACGGTTAGAGTTGGCTGTAACACATATCCATGAGTCAAGGTATTTTTTCTTAAAATTCTTTTAATAGCAATAATTTTCTTAGAACTCGATATCATAGTATATATTTTTTTATTAGATATATTTGTAGGTACATTTCTAATAACGCCTGTAACTTCTGTTGAAGAAGCAGGAATACTGGCCTTAAAATGGTAGTCATTTAAAAAAGTTTTATTATTTAAAAAAGCATTGGCTAAGTCTGGCTTTTGAAAGTATACTCCGATTTTGAATTTATTTATAGATCTAAGATAAGTTACCCCTTTATTAAATCGTTTTAAACAGGAGGAGAGTGAGAGCAAGTCTCTGGATCCAATGGTTTTCTGACTATCTGAGGATTCTACAAAGACAACAAATTCTGTCCCAGGGGATTCCTCGATATCTTCTAATATAATCTGTGACGTAGTAAGGTTTATACTTATCGGCCTTATCAATTTCAGATTCTGAGTCAGTAGAAGTATCTTCCGAATATATATCCTTGTCATTACAAGGTTCATGGTCTACATCACCTGAATCGTCATCTTTTTTTTTTCCTTTTTCTACAACTGCGCTTCCCCATGAATGCTAATTATATTATTGTCGCTGAATTTAGTGAAAATATAATATTTTATTCAATAATAAGAATTGATAGAGATAGTTTTAATAAATTAATAAAAAAAAATTAAAAAACCCGCTTGTTCTTATTCGAGTTTCCCGCCTTTTTTTTCGGGAAGAGTCCAATCAAATTGTTTATTTTTTCTTTTGATGGCTAAATTGGATAGCTAAGACGATTCGGTTGGCCAAATTGAATGCACCATCCAGTGTTACCAGTACGAAATTAATAATAACAATCCTTGCTCGATCAATTAGTAACTTAGTGCTAATTGTTAACCCTTAACCATCTAGCATACTTCTACAAGCGCTGACGAATTTTTAGGCGTCAATATTATTGCTAGGCGATAGTTACCACTTTCCATTAGATGAACTGTCAGCTTGTTTGTCGTTCTAAGGTGTTGTTGTTTTCACTGTCATAAAAAAATATAAGTTTAGGTCTTACAATTTCGTTTGTTTTATTTTTATTGAAAACTTTTATTTTTATTTATGTTTTTGTTTAATAAATATTTTACAAAAAGAACAAGTAAATCTCTCTCTCTCATTTTCCAAATGTGTGTTTATAGATTAATAAATGTAAAATAAAAAATGTTGAATAAAGTTAAATATCTATATAGGTAAGTGGATGGATTCATCTTTAAGATGGGGTACACACATAAATGAAATATGTAAAAAAAAAGTTACAAATTATTGAACATTCTAAAGATGCTTGCAGGAAACTCATGGGGGTTCATCCAGTACATCTGCGTAAACTTTACATTTTGCTTATTAGAAACCGTATAGATTATACTAGCTTTCTATATATTATATATATATATATGTTATACAAGTGATGCTAAAACGCACCTTAATAAATTAAACATTGTACAGAATAAGGTTTTAAGAATATGTGATAACTTCATTAAAAGCACTCCCATTCTATAATGGAGACCTAACTTGCTCTCCCTTCCCTGTTTGTGCGTAGGTGTGGCGCAGGCATTGACTTGGGTACTAATTTTGGTCGAAAGTGACTTCTGTCTCCAATAATCAAATTGCAATCGATAGTAAACTTATTATCAAATAACTGTTTCGTATTATAATTAGTATGATGAAATAAAACCCATCTTAATTGATGTAGACAGTAGCCTCAAAGAGGAAAATATCTACAGAAGTCCTTTACTTAATAATGTATATTTTATATAGCTGGGTTACATCCATTGATGTGAAGTCCTGTTTGTGTTTAGATCTAAAAGATGTCAATAACGTAAAACGTAATATTCATTTTATTCATTTATTTATTATTTATTATTAATATTAATGGTTCTGTTTTGAAATATCTCACTGTACATACATATATTGAAGACATATGTATAGTGTATAGTCCTATAAGGAATTTCATGAAGTATATACAGATGGATCAAAAGATTCTCGAGGTATAGAGGCGGCACTGTTTGATTTGAAGTTTAGAAAAGCTGTAATGTGGAAATTTAATAAAAATGTCTGTTAATGAAAGCTGAATTGATAACAATTATTAAATATACAAAAAATTGTTATACTAACTGAATCAAAGAGTGCCCTCCATCACTTGGCTCGTTGTGTCTCGGGTACGCAAGGTATGCCTATATAATATTTTAGATTAAGTTCATATTCGTAATCGATTTCATTATAAAAAAAGTACAAAATGGTAATCTAAATCAATGGATTGAAATTAATCACATCACTAAAGATGGTAGTCTATGATTACCGACCACCCGTCATTTCTTATTGAAAAAAAAAAGAAAAATTTTACACGGAAACGGACTATTATTGCGTGGTGTGTTATAGAATATTCTGTGTTTTACGAGGTTAAATGAATCACCGACGCGTGTAGTGCCGTTAAAACATGTTTGTTTAATTTCGTCTAACATTATTTTATGTTTATTCTTTATTTCATTGTTCAATTACCATATTTAAAAAAAGACTGTGAGCACAAATAAAATGGCGACTGATCAGGCGAAGAACCGCATGCATGTATTCAAGAATACTGGAAAAGATGTCGACGTATGTATTTAATCATATAAATAACACATGCATGTACCTATTTCAACATAAAGCCTTTACTAAAATGGCTCAACATGAATTATGTGTTTTTTTTTTAGGAAATGCGCAGACGGAGAAACGAAGTCACAGTTGAACTTAGGAAGAACAAAAGAGAAGAAACGTTGCAAAAACGTCGTAATGTACCAATCAGTGACTCGACGGACGAAGACGAGATCGAGAGGAGCTTGGCATCGACTGACCTTAAGGAACTGGTAATCAATGCTGCTAATATGGAGAACCCCGATGCGCAACTGGCGGCCGTACAGCAATGCAGAAAGCTGCTTTCTTCAGACAAGAACCCACCAATCGACGATTTGATAGAGCACGGCATCCTCCCTATCCTGGTTCAGTGTCTATCAAGAACTGACAATCCAACACTTCAGTTTGAAGCTGCATGGGCATTGACGAACATAGCATCTGGAACTTCCGCACAGACTACTAAAGTGGTTCACGCTGGTGCAGTGCCCTTCTTTCTTCAGCTGCTCATGTCGCCACATGAAAATGTGTGTGAACAAGCTGTATGGGCACTTGGCAATATTATCGGTGATGGGCCAGTTCTCCGAGACTTTGTAATTGAACTAGGAGTAGTAAAGCCACTGCTTAACTTCATCAAGCTAGAAATACCTATACCATTTTTACGTAATGTGACATGGGTGATTGTCAACTTATGCAGAAGTAAGGACCCTCCACCACCAGTCAAGACTATTCAAGAAATTGTTCCTGCCCTGAATTTACTAATTATGCACACAGATATCAATGTAAGTATTGCAATCATTATGACATTAATTCAGCACATTTAATAGTTTTTTTGTCTTGAATATATTAAAGTTCTGTTGACAGACATAATTTTAAAAATGAAAATGAAATATCCTATGTTATTAAGGATCAAAGTATATACTTGGCTAATCATGACAAATTTGATATTATTAATGTGAAAGTGTGTTACCTTATGACTCCTGAACAGTTTAAACAATCATTATGAAACTTTATATACACATCTTATACGGGATCGAGAAGCATATAGACTACCTTTTATCCTGGTCATGCAGATGAAGTTATGGATAAAAGTTAATAGGGTATATTGCTAACAGTAAGGCTTTTAGATATCATTACTAACAGTCCCTTTCCACTGGGGGGAAAGGGATTGTTAGTAATGGGGTCAAATAGCCCTATTACTAGCAATATACCCTGTCAGGTCGACCTCCACATGGTTCCCCCTGGAAACCATCGTGACTAATTCTAGTTTAATTTGTCAGGATGAGCTAACTGATCTACTTTCATCTTCGTCTGTCATCCCTCACTGGTGCCCCGCCGGTGTATACCAACAGCACAGATGGGGTTACCATACCATTATCACCCTTTAAAAAAAAAAAGTCCCTTTCCACCTATCTTTGTTTTGTTGGTATACAAATATTGTGTTTAGATGCTAGCGAATTCTGTCTGCATACCTGCTTTGGTTCTCACCTATAATCACTCGTATTTGCCTCACCTACATATACTGATAGTTCAATCAGGGTTACCTCTCTGTTTTCACTCCATAAAGTACAGTTCAAAGGAAAAAATTGCCTATATACATTTTGGCATATTCAGTCTGAGTGTTCTTGTGCATGGTAAACATAAATATACTATAATTTTTCACACACATACAATGTCTTATCTATATAATTTACAAGTGCAATAAAGAATTTTTTTTTTCGTCATATTTATCTATAATTATAATCTATACTTTATCTATAAATTATATATGAATACAAAAACAGTTATTATAAATCAAATTAAGAAACACAAATTAATCATGACATTTTTTTTTTCTAAATTTGTTTTGATTGTATGTTATGTACATACATATAGACTGTACCTTTTAGTATTCTACATATTAATAACTTTTTCCATAAAAAGTTATAAAAGTGAGGGTGCTTCTAGAAAAAACGCTAACATCTGTATATTAGTGTTTTTTCTAGAACCAATTCTATAGTTATTGATATACAACACTTATAATGATTGATTATCCTGTATTACAAAAGGGTGTTGGAAATTTTAAAGCAAGTGAAGACTACTGAATCCTACCCTGCAAACTGGACACACAAATACCTTGCAGGGATTCTACAATGTGGCATTTGTGACACTGAAAAAAATTTGAATATAGAATTATAGAAAATTAATATAGCATTAACAGAGAATTGACATCAAGGCATATGAATAGACATAAACCTTCTCCATGCCATATATTTCATTGTAAATGTCATTACCATTGGATGAGCTAGTCCTTTGTTTTAATGGGTGAAAATGGAATGTTATTCCTGCCTGTGATATATTATACACAAAGAGACAAGTAAGAATGGGAGATACAGATAAAGTTTATTATTATTAAAATTTAAATATTTGTTAATGATCCTTTAGTTGTCAAGTGGAATATTAAGAGATAATTATGTTTAAGTAAATAATTAAATGTTATTTTAATCATAAGTAAAATAATTTCTCTAAATGCATTAATATGTTAAACTGTTAAAGGTCAAATGTCATCGTGTCTTTGATTAGTGACATCAAGAATGCAACTTAATGCACTCCTTAATTTGCTTACATTGCATTTGCTAGTATGGAGCCGCCACTCGAGAACTTTTCTTCATCGGTTGTTGGTTCTTCGAGCTATATGACCAGTCCATTGCCACTTCAACTTGCTTATTTTTAGGGCTAAATGAATCTAAAAATGAGTGACCTCAATGTAGGGTGTCATTTTGTTAGATCACTCATTTCACTGTATCCCACCAGTTTACCATGCACATTAATTTAATAGTACCTCTAAGAGTCTGTTAATATACACACTTATTCAGTTAATTTAGTTTCTTGTCAGTTCTAGGCAGGTGAACTTCTATCTTAATTAAACATATTGCTGAAATATATGTTTTTTTATAAATTAACACAAACTTAAATATTATTTTTTATATTCTAATATTTTTTTTTTTCATATTAAAATTTTAATACATTTAAAATTAATATATAAATAGAACGATTAAAATTATTCATTCAGAATTTACGAAGATGTCAAATAATGTCTATGAAAAATTTAATAAAGCACTTTCTATGTAAACTATATTGAAATATAATTTATTTAAATGTATGTGGAAAATATAAATTAATTACTTACATATTATAAATCTATTATCACATGATTCTTACTAGTCTGAGTGTATCCTTATCATATTTGTATTTATTTTTTTGTTGTCAGTAACTGACAAGATAAACAATCTTGCTGAAAATTCAGTACTGTTCTTATCAATTAATTTGCACTATCATTCTTGGGTCATTGCCTCCATGACCAAATTAGATTTTGTTGACATACTGTGTTATATACAATGGCTGTCAGTCATATTTTATCTAAAAATTCATAACGGTGAGTTTTGGAAATGGCCGTGTGTATTAGTCACAATTGTCTAAATAGTGTGATGATGATTAGATATTTTTGAGTAATTTTTCTAGGATATCTTTGTTGAATTATTAATTTTAAATAGGAAATTTATATGTACATATAGTGATGAATGTAACTTAAAACTTGTCCAAAAATAAGCACTGCGTCTTCCCCCTTTCACCCCAATACTATAATGTTTTTAATAGACTTCGAAATGCAAGTTCTCTTTTCATTTCAATTTTTTTTTTTTTTGTTTGTATTATTGTTATTTCTCAACCTATGGTGGTAGGGTTGATTGGGATGTTAGTCTCAGACAAATTTTGTCCCAATTGAGAGTCAATCCCTTTTTTACAGAGCAAAATCTTAAATTAATTATTGTACGATAATATGATTTAGTGGACTGTAGGTATGACAAGGTTTGAAAATAAATGCGATAACGATAAACTGTTAAAGAAAGTCACTATCTAGATTCAAACAATGGTCAAATGATTTACCCTTTTATTTGCGAAAATAATAAAAGCATGCTAAAGTTACCTAAGGTTACCTTGTAAATGTTACAAATACAATGGGTTTTGATCTTGACTTCTCATACGACTTCTTTTTTAATAATTTGTTATTATTACTATATGTTTTAATGCAATAAAGAATATATCTTATATATAAAATTCTCGTGTCACAGTGTTTGTTACCAACTCACTTGTTACTCCTCCGAAACGGCTTTACCGATATTTATGAAATTTTGTGTGCATATTGAGTAGGTCTGAGAATCGGGCAACATCTATTTTTCATACCCCTCAATGATAAGGGTAACCCTCCCCAAATTTTTATTTTTTATTTTTGTAACAAATTTTTCCATTTTTATTTTATTATGATTTAGCATTAAAAAATACACACAACTTAAAATTTTCATCGTTTTACGATCAACCCCTGTATTTTAATCGCGATTTTTATATTTCGCAATAAATGGTAAAACAACGTTTACGGGGTCAGCTAGTATTATATAAATGTTCGAATCATCAAGTGTCCTTTTAGCGACAAACCACAGTTGGTTTGTCGCAAATTGTCAGTACAATTTGCGTAATTTATATCGACAATAATTAACAGTATTAAATTCCGATATGTTTCAATATTGTGCAAATAAATTCGTCCAAAAAATAATTTTAAACAACAACGCTATTTTTATATTTCTGTTTTAGATGTACACCAACAACACATTTTTTTTCTACCTCCAATGATTGATTTATTGCCACATGCGAGAATAAAATGTTCCTATTTATTTTATAGAAAGTGTTTAACACTGGCTATTTAAATAAGACTGTTTTCCTCTAGTCTTTTAGGTTGGGAATTATTTCTGTAATACCTATTTTGGAAAGTGTCTATATAAACGTGGTCCGATTTGAATTAAGGAGTTCTTTAACGATTTACTACATTCATAGCCGTAGCTAGAGGAGGGGGGGGGACATTGAGGGTCAATGCCCTATTTAAAAAGGCCCAATGCCTTACCTTAAAATAAAAGGCCCCAAAAACAATAGACAAATTCGCGTTTTCGAATTCACTTAATTATGGCTTCTGCCCTACCAAAAAGTTCTTTTGTTCTACCTTAAACTTGGATCTAGCTATGGCCCTGATGATTACATTACTATAATTTGTTTCCAGATTCTCGTGGATACCGTCTGGGCTATCAGCTATTTAACAGATGGCGGCAATGAACAAATCCAAATGGTGATCGAAGCGGGCATCGTTCCTAAGTTAATCCCGCTGCTCTCCCACAAGGAGGTGAAGGTGCAGACGGCGGCGCTGAGGGCCGTTGGCAACATCGTGACAGGAACGGATGAGCAGACCCAAGTGGTGCTCAACTGCGACGCGCTGTCACACTTCCCCGCATTACTCTCACATCAGGTGTGTGTAGTTTCCACTAGACGATAACCGCTAGATTACCGGGGGGAAGGGATTGTTAGTTATGGAGGCTGAGAATCCCATTGCTAGCAATATACCCAACCAGGTCGACCTTCTCGCGGTTCCCCCTGGAAACTATCATGGTTAATTCCTAACGAATTCATCATGATGGGCTAACTGGCTTGTTCTCATTCTCATCTATCACCCTTCACTGGTGCTCCGCCAGCGTATCCCGTTGGCGCAGGCGGGGTTACCATACCATTTTCACCCATCAAAAAAAAACCGCTAGATTACCGACCATGGTCATCTAGCAATTTAACACATCACAGCTTAAGGTGGATAATATCTAGTGATATTTACATATTGTAGCCACAATATCTATACATATATTGGTAAATATAATCTCATCATTTGTATATGCATTAAACATTTCCGAACGCAATATCCTTCTACCCTCCTTACCTATCCATATTCCCTATCAAATCTGGGATCACATTGGGGGGTAGATGGACAAAATCAGTCTATAATCCAACTGCGCGTAGAGCTGATAAAGTTCCGCTAAGATCACGAATAAATCTCCGCCAGTTGCGAATTATTCAATCAGCCGCGATCTCCGCGCAACATACAGTGACACCTTATGCAAATCAACAAAAGTGTTGGATAATTTAAAGAGAGAACGAGAACGCGTACAAAAGACCTACACGGGGGGACTAAGTGAACCAGTTTTGTCCTTTACCCTTCTTTTTATCCAACACATATATTGGTTCAATAATATACATTAGATATTGGTTTTTCGATATATAATATCTAAATTAAGAACCAGAAGGACTGAATATATAGACATTGAATGTTACCCATCTGTAATCACAACACCTTCCGATATTATGGGGCCGGTCGTGCGCAAAACAAACATACAATTGTACATATTTTTGGAGGATTAGCTTGAACAAAACATTGTACTGTATAAATTAATGTAACCATGTTAATTCTCTGTAATGTGTACCTATTGAAATGAAATGAAATGCGGTAGTCACTTACCATCAGGTGAGCCGCATGCTCGTTTGCCCCCTGTGTCGTAAAAAAAAAAAATACCGCTATATAACCTCAAACTAGGCAGAACTGTGGGTACTAAATTAACAAATTAAATTTCATTGTTTCCTGAACTACTAAAAAAAGGAAATGTGACTTTGTTTTGTATGAACCTATATGATTGAACATATTTTTAAGTTTATAACAAAAACAACACTAATAGATTGTCTGGGCATGTAACATTTGTCAATAAAATTATAAATGTTTGGTTTTTTTTATGCAACTTAGAATGGTAACCAAACTGACAGCCCATTTGAGAGGAAAGTGGTAACCGTCGCCTATAGACATGAATAGTACTATGAACATAACAGAGTATAATGTTTCACCCATAATACATTCCAAGAGTTTCCTGGATGAGATCCCTATTTAGCGATAAGGCGCATTGTTGCCTCTTTATCTTGCTTTTATATAATTAATTATTCATTTTATTTGTGTACATATTATTAAACTTTAAAATCTGTATCATTCTTGGAAGAGAACAATTTTTCATTTTTCAAGAGAACAAAAGAGTTATCATTAATTCATTCATTCATTTTGTTTTACAGAAAGAAAAGATCTGCAAAGAGGCCGTATGGTTCTTATCAAATATAACAGCCGGCAACAAACACCAAGTGCAAGCGGTGATTGACGCAGGGTTGCTCCCGAAGATTGTGGAGAACCTCAGCAAGGGAGAGTTCCAGACGCAGAAGGAGGCGGCGTGGGCTGTTTCCAACTTGAGCATAAGTGGCTCCAAGGAGCAAGTGGCGACCCTTATCTCCTGTGGGGTTATACCACCGTTCTGTAATCTATTAGCCTGCAAGGACACTCAAGTTATCAATGTAAGTATCAATAGATAAAATCATTTAATTCTATGTTCTCTTGACATATTTAACCCTGAAAAGGTATATAGTTTTCAAGTAGTCACTTTATTGTTGGTAAGGGTGGAAATAGAGGGTAAAAAAATAATAAATAAACCAGAGGGAGACTTTGTACAAAAGTCGATTGCTTGGGTGCCTCTGTCCCATTCATGTTTCAACCGTGAAGCAGCTGTGTTTCATAGCGCACAAACATAGATATTTTTTTTATACAACTTAGAATGGCAAACAAGCTGATGGCCCACCTGATGGAAAGTGGTAACCGTCGCCTATAGACATGAGCAGTAGCATGGACATAACAGAGAATACTGTTTCGCCCATGATACCCCCCATGCGTTGCCATTCCTGAGGACTCGGGTGTTATTCCTCTGTACCCAGTAAATTCACGCCACCCTTCAAACCGAAATACAGCCATGCAAACACAACTGCTTCACGGCAGAAACACGAATGGGACAGAGGTACCCAAGCAATCGACTTTTGTACAAAGTCTCTCCATAACATTAAAAATACTGTGTTTCGAACAACAAATTATGTTGTAACATTTCAGTTATGCAATTAAATTTACTGTCATTCACAGATTTAGAATTTTCATTTTGTGTGGACTTGGCAGATGTCCAAGCAGCCATATACATTGTGAATAATTGTGATATGAGTATGTAAATGTATGTATTTTATGCACGAAAAAGTTATTATTTCACTCTTCCACCACCTATCCACTTCTATCTGTTCTCCTATAACCAGAGGTTGTCTGTAAGAGATTGTCCTAGCGATAAGACTGCCTTTTGTATCTTTATGTGTATATATCAATCTGTATTTATGTTACTGTATTTCACTTGAATTATTCAATTGTCATTGTATATTTTTATTTATGGTGCAATAAAGAAATACATAAATGGATGACGCGTTCGCAGGTCGTGCTAGACGGTCTCAGCAACATGCTGAAGATGGCCGGCGAGAATGCGGAGCAAGTAGCCAACATGATCGAGGAGTGCGGCGGCATCGATAAGATCGAAGCGCTGCAGAGCCACGAGAAGGTGGAAATATACAAGATGGCCTACGATATCATTGAGCAGTACTTCGCTGGCGAGGTGAGCACGCGTTATATTGTTCCCACTTGTCTAAAAATTTGAAACATTCTTTATTATTTATAGTTGTCACAATATATACCGACTTTAATTGTGGTGAAACTACTTATTATGATTTCAAAACTAAACTATAAAGTTTCGATTAAATTTTTAAGGGACCACTCTGTAAGTATATTTGTTCAAATAAAAAAAAATCCAAATTGTTTTAGAATTGGCGGAGTAATGAGAAAACATACTTTAAAAAAATTACAATGTAATTAAATACTTCGTGTTTTTTTTAGCTGATTGAAAAAGGACAATAATGAACATTCTTTTCTCCTATGATGAACAGTGTTGAAGCTAATTACTGCTCAGTAATTCTTTACTTTATCTTCCGTCTTCATTCTACAGCTTGGGTTACGCAAATTATAAATATTTGAGACTAGTGTTTCTTAGTCAGCATTAAAGTAAAAATTTTTGCTCTAAATTAGATTCTATAAAGTTTAATGAACTTCGACTAACAGTATGTTAGTAGATAGCGCCCAGTAGTAGTGATTCAGTTGTATCATCTGTCTGTAAAGTGAATACAGAAGAAAGGATTCTGATGCACTTAGTAAACAATTTAATTAACTCATATAAGGAATAAATACTCTAAATTCGATGGGACTTCATAGATTTACATAAACAATAACAAACACGTGTGTATTACAGGAGGAGGACGCGTCGCTGGTGCCGGCGGCGGCGGACACAGGCTTCCAATTCGAGCCGACGGCCGGCGGACAACACGACGGGTTCCGCTTCTAACTCTCCGCTCTATCGTCTATACTCCTACTGTTCGACTCGCGCGGCTCGCGTGTCGTCACACTTGATGCGAGAATCGAGTAGCCTCATCGACTATTTTAAATTATTACTCTAATAACGAGGACGCTGTCGTGGTGCGTCGCAGTACGTCGGCGGCCCGGCCGTCCGGATCCGGACGCCGAGCCCGAGCCGGCCGGACGTCCGGATCCGGACGCCGAACCCGAGCCGGCCGGACGGACGCTTAGCACACCCTCTGAGCCGCGACTCGCCCCGATGAATCCACGAATGAATCTAGTAAATGTATTTTGTGACGCCGCACAAACGAGCGACGTTTTTTTTTTAAATGAACGGTGCAATTGTTAATAATTGTCGTTCGTCGATTCAACGGGCGGTTGAGCAAAAAGGCCTTAGCACCGTGATCGTGGTAAAGTTCGCGTTGTAAAATGAAATATAGCCGGTGCTACGGCTTCGTTGTGATACAGACACTATTGTGATGTTTGAAATTTTCATCTTTGTTTTCGAATTTCGTATACAAATTAATAATGGACGATGGACACTAAGTGGATAGCTTTAAAGTTAAGTTCCGCATACCGTACGACGTATGTGACTAGTGTATTCTGCTTACAGATTTGATGCTTTTTGATATAAATAACATAGTATTTATGTTTCGTTTTTTAACTCAGTACATAACTATGAAATACACCGCGGCCCCAAGAGCCTACTGCAATGCCGTATGATCATGGTTATGAAATTATGTTCCGACAAAGAGTCCATTTGTATATGCCAATAAATTCTGTCCAATATTACATATCATCGTTTTTTTTATTTGCATTAACTACCACTTGACCAGTTTAACATTATTACTACATCTATTTGCATCGGGTCATTTTTATAGAATAACATTAGCTAGCTGTTGGATTTGAAGCAAAAACATTGGAATTACTTCATCGACAAAGACTTCATAGGAGATAGATCTGAGATTATGTCGGAGATCGATGACTGTATGTCTGTCTTTCGCACCAAACATACACATGTAAATTAATGATAACGAAATTAAACCAAATAATACTAGTCAACTGAAATTTCTGCCTACCCACTACTACAAGAAAAAGTGTAATAAATAGATACAATTATAAATAAATTAAAAATTTTAATTTGTGGTATAGAAAATCAAATAGGACCAAATAAGGAATAATAAAATACCCATTCTATAAAATATTTTTTTATTTAATGTAAAAATAGAGAAGGCAACAAGAGTTCATTTTGTTTTGAAGCGTCCATCTTGAAATCGTAGTGTTTCTGAAATAAAACAGAAATAAATGTGCCTATAGTATAAACATGATTTATGATCACGAGTCATGACGTAATGTCTGACGCTATGTTGTTGTATACTTGACCGTTATTCGACAATACAATTAAAATGTTTCGGGGCCGGGTTGCCAGATGCGAATTTTTATTTTTACCCAAACTTAATATTTTTTTCTCCAAATCTATACGATTTCCAAGACCTTTACTCAGCCACATACCTGTATCGTTTTGCTAAGTACCATAAAGTAAAACGACGAGAAAAAAACAATTCCTTTTCTACCTTTTAGCTTATATTCTTTATCCTATCTTCTGTTTTGCTACGGTTATTCCTGTATTTTATTATATTTATATACCTTAACACATCTTACAGATACCAAAGTTGTCCAAAAAATACTCTTTCTTCAACCCCATTTCACTTTTCTCTAAAAATTTCTTTAATAATCTAATTTCTGCAAAATTTTGCGAACAGAATTTTATTACCCAAAATTGCGAAAAGTACCCATTCTGGCAACGCTGTACGGAGTTAATCTCTCGCTATCCGTCGAAATTAATAAGTTGTGTTTACGTCATTTACCATCAACAGAGATTTATTGTTTGGCACACTTAATCGAACTAGGATGTCCTCGATATTTGATACAGACGACAGGACAAATAGAGACATTTATTGAAAAATTAATAAAATTTTATAAAGTCTATTTTGATTTCAACCAAAATACAACTCATGACATCAAAACAAGTATACGAGGTTTTTTTTAATGGGTGAAAATGGTTCAGTAACCCCGCCCGCGCTATTGGACACCGACGAGGCACCAGTGGAAGATGATAGGTAAAAACGAATACAAGTCAGTTGGCCCACCATGATGAATTCGACAAGAATTAAACATGACGATGGTTTCCAGGGGAACCGCGTGGAGGTCAACCTGAGAGGGTATATTGCTAGTAATGGGGCTATTAGACCCCATTACTAACAATCCCTTCCCCCCCCCCCCCCCCCCCAGTATATGAGGATTGGAATATACTAGAAATAGTTTCTAAGGTTTTTCTTTAAAAAGGTAGACTGTTTTCTGTGAACCTCCATCACCGGCAGGCCTAACAGCCAGCCAGCAGTGCACTGTACATAATAATAATAGCCTTTATTAACAATCTTACAATATAGTTATAATAAGTTTGACAACGGTACGTAAAGATTGTCTTGCTGTCCAGCATAGGCCTCCCCCAGAGATCGCCACTGAATGCGATTCTGCGCTTGTCTTTTCCAGGTGTGTCCCGCTATTTTTTGATATCGTCTTCCCATCTACGACTGTACATAATATAAGGCGCTTAAATAAAATTAGAAATATTACTTTTTTACGTTCGCATGCGTAGCATTTTACATTGATGTAGGAGAGGTCGGGCGACTCGTCGGCTAGTGTGCGCGCAGTGACCCTGCTCTGCAACGACTCCGCATCGTAGAATACACCCACTTTGTGTTGGAAACTGTAATATTAGAAGCTAATATTTTACATTCCTCAGTTAATAATTTGTTCCTGGAATTAGTACTGTTCATGCCTATAGACCACTATAGCTGATCATTTTCCATCTGATTTTCCGTCAATTTTTTTCGACATTCTATGTGTAAGTTTTATAAAACAAATTTGATATAATATCTAAATAATACCTACTCTATGCCGTATCGTCCTGGCATAGAATGGGCCGTCGTTTCCTTTCCCGTGGATGTCATAAGAGGCGATTAAGGAAAGTTAATGGTCGAGGAATGGGCAGCAGTTGCAATTGTTTGTATTTATAATAAGTTTACTATAGTAATCTTTTTTTATACAACTTAGAATGGCACACAAGCTGACGGCCCACCTGATGGAAAGTGATAACCGTCGCCTATAGACATGAGCAGTACCATGGAGATAACAGAGTATACTGTTTCGCCCATGATACGCCCCATGCGTTGCCATTCCTGAGGACTCAGATGTTATTCCTCTGTACCCTGTAAATTCACGCCATATCCCACCCTTCAAACCGCAACACAGCCATGCAAACACAACTGCTTCACGGTAGAAACACGAATGGGACAGAGGTACCCAAGCAATCGACTTTTGTACAAAGTCTCCCTCTGGTGAGGAAATCTTATAGAGGATACAATAAAGAGTCTATCTCTTAAAACATCACCAAAGCCTAACTGCGATTGCCAACCTGCCTGCCAAGCGTGACAACTACTGACAAAACACCCAATAGAGAGAGGCCTATTATTAGCAGTGCAAGAATTCTTCAACCGACCAAAAAGAACTAATTGTTGATCAATTACAATTACATTACACTCACTTGGGTAACGGCTTCGACCACTCATTGTCCAGTCGTTTCGCTCTCATAATGTTGTTCAACCGCTGCAGTAAACCGAAATTGTCTCTTTGTATCTTGTCCTTCCTATCGAGTTCCCGTTGGCACTTCTTGAGTTTGAGCGCGACGTGCGGCCGCGTGGCTGGCGGCCGATCGTCAATCGCTGGCAGCGCTGATTTTACCTCGAAAATATTGGAAATGTATTTGACTTTTAGGTAAATGTGTAGTTTTACCTTAGATTTGGTAAACAAGTATGTTATATGATTTTTTTATACCACCGAGGTGGAAAACAAGCATACGGCCCACCTGATGGTAAGTGGTTACCGTAGCCTATGAACACCTGCAATACCAGAGGTATTACACGCGCGCTGCCAACCCTGAAGAAACCTCTTTACCGCTCTTTTGAAGAACCCTATGCTGTAGTCTCTTAGGAAGACCTCGGCAGAGAACTCATTCCACAACCTGAGTGATTACAGAATTATAGAGATCCCCATTAGAAACTGTCGTATTTAATTCTTGGTAGACACTATGGACCAGTTGATCTGACTTCATCCATCACTGGTAAGGTACCAGTCTATACTAAGGAGAAAGAAATTGTTAGTAATGGAGTCTAACAGCCTCACTGCCAGCAAATTACAGGTCGACCTCCACGCAGTTTCCCCTGTGAACCATTGTAGTTATTTTTTGTTGAATTCATCACAATGGGCTAACTTGCTTTCATCGTCGCCTGTCATTTCTCATTGGTGCCCCTCCAGCGTATACCGAAAGCGCAGGCGGGGTTACCATTCTTAAATAAATACTAAAAATAAGACAATTCCATTACATACAATTAAAGTAGCCTTTCCCAAAGTGGGCGATAACGCCCCCTTGTGGGCACTGCAGACCTAAAGAGTAAGAGACCGGTAAGAGACCCAGAAAAAATAGGGGCGTTGTGTAAAGGCCTGGTGGGTGATTCGTTGATCTTGAAGTAATAGTTGTTTTTAAGCAGATGAAAAAATGGGGGCGCTAAAAAATAAATTATTCTCAGTGTGCAGTAGACAAAATAAGTTTGGGAATGCAGGGGCATAAAGGGAACAGGTGTGTATCAATTTTTGCGCCCAACTAGAGATGCCTAAAACTGTCACATATAGAAACGAATCTATAGTTGACGTCTTAATCACACTGCAATCACAAATGGGATAGCTTTTGAAATTTGCCGTCTATTGACAAGAGGTAAGTAAAAATTTTGGAAATTATGTCTTATTAGATTTCAATGCTTGCTAAATTATAATTACGAAAGTAAGTTTGAAATGGAAAGGGAGATAAACTAAATTTCGGGTAGGAAGTAGTGATTATGAAACAATTAAAAACAACATAACATTTCACTAAAAGTCAACAATTAATTTACATACATACATATATACATACATACCTGTCTCTCATTAAGGTAGGCAGAAACAATGGAACGCCAAATGCTTCGATTCAAACAAACCTCTTTCGCTTCCTCCACATTTATCAATCTTTACGTACACGCTCGCCGGTTACGGGTACTTTTAATTTGGCCCTTCTTCAGCACGTCACCTATTTGGTCAACATACGTCCGTCTAGGGCGGCCCCTACCGACATATCTATTCATTCTTGCTCGATAAATCTCTTTCGTAATTCTTCTTTCATCCATCCTCTCCAAATTTTTTTTTTTTATACAACTTAGAATGGCAAACAAGCTGACGGCCCACCTGATGGAAAGTGGTAACCATTGCCTATAGACATGAGCAGTACCATGGACATAACAGAGTATACTGTTTCGCTCATGATACCTCCCATGCGTTGCCATTCTTGAGGACTCAGGTGTTATTCCTCTGTTCCCAGTAAATTCACGCCATATCCCACCCTTCAAACCGAAACACAGTCATGCAAACACAACTGCTTCACGGTAGAAACACGAATGTGACAGAGATACCCAAGCAATCGACTTTTGTACAAAGTCTCCCTCTGGTAAAAAACCAAACCAACGCAACAATTAATTTATTAATATGTAATTGTGATATACCAAATCTTACTTTCAGTCTGTGATCTTTGAACCTTCGCTCCTGCCACGGCTGCACTAACAGTTTATCTCGTCTCGATAACATCGACTCTGTGACACTGGTACACATAAAATAGGGCAAAGTACGAGCGACCGAATAATGATCGGGCGTTTTTGTTAAGTCAATAATGTTATATACTCTTTAATGTTGCTATGATACTATTTTGAGACGTTGTTTAAAATAGTTTTTTTTATTTACAGCATATACATAAAAATCTTGGCATATCTTTAAATAGAAATAAATAAATATGCGTAAAAATAAATTGCCAAGTGTGTACCGGCATTGAAGCAGCCACCCCTTCCTTTCCTGTGTGTGTCGTAAGAAGCGACTTATAAATGACGAGTGATGGGTAGCAGTGTCCCTCTTATATCAACTCTAAAAACTTAACTGTGGTTGCCAATCTGCCCGCCAAGAATGGCAACTACTAGTAAAACTATGTGGAAGGCTTATGACAGTTAACAACTGAAATTAATTAACTTTAAAGGGTATTATTTCATTTTTTAAATAACTAACTTATCATCAACTTAAATAAGTTGAGGATAAGTTAGTTATTTAGAAATCAGTTTTTTACATTTTGAATGGCAAATGCCATTCAAGATGTAAAAAACTGAAAACGAAAACCTGTTTCAGACTGCTTTCACATGGATTTTAGCAATAGGCTATATTTGTTTTAGCTTTTATATCATCACCATACTTATAATACGAGGGTAGGCGTTAAATAAATACAAATTTGCAAATTAATAAATAAATTATAATGTTAAATATTATACACTGCACTTACAATGGTATCATATCATGTCCGTTACATCTGAGAATATACACGAAAACATACAAACACGTGGTTACAGTACAAACTAAGAGAAAAATATACTTTGAGCAATATAAAAATAAAAAAAAAATCACTCCTATAATAAATTTAACCTAATTTATTATTTAAACGTAATATATTAATACAGTTATGCTTCCAATGGAGAACTCGTAGCTCGGTACACGGGCACCGTTCAATTTAAAATATTGTTTTTATTAGAATCATTCTCTTTAATATAAAACGGAATGTAACTCGGGTAACGCCGTTTGTACACCAACGTCGCGAAACGTATAAAAGAAAAACAAAAGCCTGTAAACTGAATAAGAAGTCATGGTAAGAGAATGTCCGATAAATCTAAAATTTATAGCGGAATTAAGCATAAAAAGTATGGGCGCGGCATGGTAAGCGACCATTATAAACCCTGAATACCAGAAAAAGTCAAAAGCGATCACCCAATCCCTTCAAGCGTAGATCAAGATGCAATGGTCTGAGATGACATTCGAACCAAATAGTTCGGAAAAAAAAAACGGAAAACTGGAACAGAAACTTACAGACAACTTTGTTATCTCCCGCATATTTTTTAATTATAGCACGACACGTGACCACACCATCTTGAGCGAACAGAGTCAACATGTTCGACTCTCAACCGTTGTCCGCACTATGCTAGCTCACTAAAGGCTTTTTCATACTACGTTTGAAGGGTCCGAGGTTACAGGATGAACTAAACGTGCCACGGGAAAGGTCATTCCACATTGTTACGGTTCACGTAATGTTGATATTTCGTTCTATCTCTATTTTTACAACTGTATGTCTGTCCCGTACGGTTCACTTTCCTTTGCGGTCCTCGACGCCGGTGTACTAGCGGAGTTACAGTCCGAACATTTAGTATATTCATTGCTCGTGAAGCTTTTTAAATAAACGTTAGTGTTACTACTTACAATCAATCCATGATTTACAATATTTCATCACACCTCAAGTTTTACAATAACAGCCATTCGGTTATCATAAATAATGAATCGATCGATTTAACTTTCCGACAGGAAGTCGCATCTCTTGACTATTTCGACTAAATGCGTCAACACAACCATAGACAACGACGCGTGCGCAGTAGGTAGGTCCTGTCAAATGGAATTTCTATAGGAAAATTAAATTCGATTTTCGAATTTAAGAATGTCGAACGCTGGGTTTGCTTTAAAATGTTTTCAGTTATCATGCTATATAACATTATCTCGATGCATTTGAGCTTGAACTATTAATTTCTCGAATCAACTAATACTTCCTCATTCAACGGAAGACTTGTAGACAACACGTCTGCAGATTTCAAAATTGATGAATGAACGGAAATACAGATATTAATACAATATTATAACAGTACAAATTCCGATGAACTGACAAACTATTTCAATTAAAACCAATGCCACTCTCTAACAATAGAGAAGCATTGATTTTAGAGTCAATCAAATAGTGATAATAAGAGCCCAAATATGACCTTATGTTTTATATGGATTGTACTAACAAATGTATTTAGACAAAAACATAAAAGTTACACCAACTTGAAATACAGTGACAGTACTCACGCGTGTGAGTTTTTTCTTATACAACTTAAAATAGCAAGCAAGCTGACGGCCAATCTGAGGGAACCGTTGCCTATAGACGTGAACAATAGCATGAACATAACTGTGTCGTCCATGATACCGCCCACACGTTGCCATTGCTGAGAACTAAGGGGTTATTTGAAAGTACATGATTATGAAAATACTTTTGGATAAGTAGGTATTGAATAAGTAGATTTGAATATTGGGTACATTAATAATTAGTTAGCATTCATTTTAAATGAACATATTAATTTGGAGAATATTTTAAGAGATTATCGTATTTACTAAAAAAAAAAAAGAGAATCCATTGAAGAAAATTTTTCATATATATATATATATATATATATATATATATATATATATATATATATATATATATATATATATATATATATATATATACTATGGCAAAATATTAGGTCCGTATCCTTTTCCATTCCAATCTATATAACCATTGAGATTAATACAAGCAAAATAAAAAATAAGGTCATACTACTTCGACGTATACAACTTGCAATATCATCAGAATTGTCACCGAACAATATCCACAATACAGAAATGTCGATTGGAAATAAAACGGGCAGAACAACCGCGCATAATGTATATATATAAACCTATAAATCTCTTCCCTAATAAATCCCTACGTTGAGTTTGCCTCGCATTACTCTAATTACAATATTGAGTACAAAACGTATTAAATACATCAAAAAGATCTAGTAACTTACGATTGTCGGCTTAAGATATGACTGTGTGATAGGACATGCGCCGCTCGCTACCAAATGCTTCTACTTGACACTATTATATTATTGGTGTAAAATCTACGCGATGTATAAAACAAAGGGTTAACACAAGTCATATCTCAAATGTATCACATTCAATTAAAGTGCTACTCGTCACCACGACGAATCCGGGGCGCATCGCTAAAATAAATCGTTGATCGTTCAAAAAGTACAGTGCGACAAGCGTAAGATGGCGCTAGTGGGCCCGAGTATATTGTCTATGGTCATCGGTAGTATTTCCGTTATTACTTTTTTTAAATGTCACTCGACTGTATTGTCTGTGAGTCACTCCTAATTGGTTACTTGAAAAAAAAACACAACCACCATCTTGTACTTGTAACACTGTAATCAGTAATGTTAAAATAATATAAACACACTTGACTATTATATTTGAAACACACTTGATTATAATATAAAAAAAAAAAAAACTTTTCTTAGGTGCATTCTAATGGTATAATAAAGTACATTGCTTTAATACAATAGTTCATTGCATCGATAAGGGATTTAGATTTTTTTATAGCATTACTAATTTACGTTCTTTAATGTTTAAACAAAACCAGGGTCTATTTTTATACTTGGCACATTTAGTAAACAAACTTGACATGTATTTTAACAAAATAATGTATAAAATAAACAAATAGCTAAAACAACAAACATTTTCGTTTTAATTATGTATTATTGTCTAATATTATTCTTTTATATGTCTCATTTTCCAATTACTAATTTCATACATACATGGCAACATTTTGTTACAAAAATTGCCAAGTATAAAAAAAACAAAATATTTTATTGGCGCCTTCAAAAAAAAAAAAAAACTAAATAAAGCTATTTATAAAAGCCTAATCCCGTTTACTAAATCGCTAAATACTCACCAATGCAATGACCGCTTCTGCATTTTATAAACACATCGTTAGAGACCTATACAACATGACCCTTACCTGCTACAATTCGCGTACAAAACTTGGTGCGTTACAAAAACGATTATAGCTGTAAACAAAAAGTTCATACAAAAATAAATCCATTTACATTTTAGACGCTATTAATACTTGTCACGTGGAGTGTTACAAAATACATTTTGGACGATACATTTGACAATGTTTTCGGTTAATTGTTGACATGTAAATCATTGGATGATAAAAAGCTTTATAAATGTGTATGTACTATCAAAAATTCTTAGTTTACAACATAAAAAAAAAAAAATCTAAATATTACAGTTCCAAACGGAACATAGTCGATATAAATTTTTTTTAAACTACTTTTTTAATATCTACATGTGTATAATTGCAAATTAATCATAATACAACAACTGAGCTGCCATTGTTAGTTCTCACAACTAAAATAACTGAATATATATTAGTACCAATTTTAATTATAACCCATTGGCATATCTAATAAATTACTTTGATAGGTCTGAAAGTGATTCAGCGATACTATTCGACTACATCCTCACGCCTTTATAACAAGACCCCTTACCTTATGTTATTCATAGCTCTTTTTTTTATATACACATTTTTAAATAGTTAAATTGCAAAAAAATCTCAGTAATAGTATTAATTTATCCACAATGGAAAAGGCGAAGGAACTAAGCCATACAGCCTGAACCTCAGTAGAGAAACATCTCAATAATGTGTTCGAAATTTGAATGTACACTAATATTAGTCTTAAACTATATTAACAGACAAAGGAAATGCAATAGCCTACCATATCTTTGTCCTGAGTAGCTTTCGTTTCCCTCAAAGTAATTTAATTTAGTATAACGTATTGGTACTAGTATAGGGACAGCGGTGTATAATAAATCAGATACAGTGAAGCTAAGCATTTTGTGATGTCGGCGTATTGACTAGCGGCAGTCACATCAGCGGGAACCAACCGTTAAGATTCCACCCCCACAACGACAGTTTAAATGACATTAGTCTTAAATTCTATATAAATTATTACTAGCTAACTCGGCAGACATTATGTCCAAAATTTCATTTTTTTCCTATAAGCCTTATTCGAATTCTTTTTTATGGCAACACTATTCGCGACAATTTGACGCTATTATACATAGAATTGCCATCAAACAAAAAACCAAAGAATAATTAATTTTTATTTATAATGATTACAATAGAATTTTTTTATATTATGTTAAAGCGAAATACCACTATATATCTTAACTAAGAAACCTGAAATATTAGTTTTCGAAAGTGAAGCGAGTTAAACAAATTACTCTAATTAACAATTTAAAAAGAGTCTCAAATATTATTAAATGAATATTATAAAAACTCGAATGTATTTAAATATTTTGACCTACTAAACTTGGATACAATTTCATAGTGTAAGAACAGTAAATAATCAAATTATAGTTCTCATTTTCCAAGTCGGCTAAAACTATAAATAAATGGCCAATGTACATTTAAACTGAGGTCGTAGCTTAGCTCGCAGGTACGTCAATATGGGACACTAATTCGTTGTCACAACACTAAAACGTAGCAGTTGACAGAGATAGAGTTAACGACTATGCAATCTCACTAGTCAGACTTTAAAACATCAATAGTTGGTACGCGGCCACCGCACGTGGCCATTCTAAAAAAGTACAAAATCCCACCTCGCCTAACATTCCACGATCTTCCCCGACAATGACTTACATAATAAATGTATGTTGCCAAACATCACAACATATATATTATAAATCCATTTAGCTGTGGCAACGGTACGCGCGCAGTACAAAACGACGAAGGATTATTTTTTATGGCAACACTATTTATAACTATCATGAATAGGGTTGCCATCACATTCGAATTTGGAATACTTTGCATACATGATCATGAATAATTTAAAAAATAAAGTGGTGTTGCCAGATTTTATACATATTATATGTATAACTTTGGGGTAAATAATCTCCAGGAAGCCAATTCTTGATAGTAGTACCTGAATCAATGATACAAAATGTAGAAGTACGAATTGACTTTTTAGAATAATTTCTCCAGATATATCTACGTTAGTGTTGGCAAAACTGTTTGACTGACGTATACGAGTGCTGGCCAGTAATCGTGCCTGTCAGTGTACACAATTACTATACCCTAATTCTACACTGATTGATACATTATTTTTACGTATAAAAAGTAGCATAATAGTATGAACAACATGCAAAGTAAAACAGGTTAAAAACTTTATAGAAACATCCTTAACCACAAATTGTACTGTGCGCGAACCTAACCGTAACCTAACCTATTCATAAAATGACTAACAAACCTATTTTAACTATTAGCACTGTGTCGCTTCCAAGTTATAAATACAGCTCGAAAGAGAAGTGACATCTATTAGGGAAAATAGGCTTATTAATTTATGAATAGAGGAGTTAATGTATACATTACAATCTATAATGATCACATAATATTTTTATCTGAAGCATTCGTAGGTACTATGGAGATGTGACATCAATCAAACATAGTATATATAACATTGGGGTCGCTCTGAAATGGGTATATCCCTAAAATTAAGGTTTTCAAAGTTTTACGTCACTTACCACTAAGAAATAACCACCTTTTTCGTAAAAACATCGTCTCTTCTATAAACTATTTTAGCTATTGAACTGTTTTGTCTCTTTCTTTTTTGTTAAATTCCACATTTGAAAGAAAGCGACAAAGCAGTGTAATAGTTAAAAATTACTTCTGACTCTTGTTATTCTCGCTTTAAAAATTACTTTCAGAGATTGAGAATGCTTCAGAAGCGAACCCATTGTATACACACAATGTGTTAATCGATGACAGTACATTATCTATAAATTCCGGTTTACTTTAAAACCATTTAAAAATTACACTACATCCTTACGGAAACTTACACCTAAACAATATGATATAGAACGCTTATAGATATCATTAGAGATGCGGTATGAAGCCAATTTTTGGTTTTATTGTAATCCATCAAAGGTTTGGCGTTGCATCAACGCATCATTACACTAGAATAGAGTATATGGTAGGGGGAAGTTGACAGATACCTCACAGATACGATACATAACTGGCGTGTTCCAGCCCCGAAATAGGGTTCAACGTATCGTGGAACAATATAAGGTAAATACATTTTTCCAATAGACTTCCGTTTCCTAAACGTTGCTTTAATATTACGCGATTGTCTAATAACCGCAACACGTGAGGAATCCACTAAATTTTTTTATTCGACTATAAAATGCGTAACCCTTCCTTAATGGCGGCCGGTCGTATCAGTTACTATATTATTATTGGAATGAACTTATAAATGCAGATAAAGTTAATATTTGCGATGTAGACAAGTAAAAAAATTTTAGTAGATATTACAAGCAATGTGTTATTACATTATTTGCTGCTTTGATTCGTCGCAATAGTTGATAATATTGATGAACTAGGTATGTGAGGAAACATTAAAGTTATTAGACAAAGATGCAATAGAAAATAATATGCTGTAATCAACACTAATTTATTAACTAATTCATTATTATTTCATATGCATGCCTACAAAATTGGCTACAATCTTGCTTGGTTATCATTTAGGCATTTGTCTCGAGGCCGTGGGTATTGAGAAAATATATTTATTTTTATACAGATCATATTTACAACTGAAATTGTTGCGGAAAATGCGCTGCCTACTTCGTATTTAATCCGACAAAATTCCTGTCGTTTAGCATCGGTACAACTTTAAGACAAAGACTCCGTACTAATCATGAAAAAAAAAAACTGTTTTTCAAAGAACGTACTAGCTGTCATATATTAAATTTGAATTAATAAATCAATTTGGGTATGTTTATGAATAAGCCTGTCTCACTGATGCAGCTATCAGCTATTTTATATCACAACTGCCTGATCAGTACTAATACCGCCAAAAAGTCATTTGAACTAGTCTCTAGTTTACGCGCCAGATACAGGAAATAATCAGAGACCTCTGTAAGCAGAAATTTCAATATCAGCTCTAATAGTTCATACAATATACTCAATGTGGCCGTTTGTCCTTTATACAGGTTATAAATATACGAATGCATGTAAATTCAAGGCCCTATACTAAAAAAAAGGTTTAAGGTAACAAGCCCAATGTTATAAAAACTAAAAAACATCATTACCAATTAAAAATTGAGGTCCAAATAATAAGTTTCGTCTTCCAAAGTGTACCATTTGGTATATTTAAAAAATACGTAACATAATTGAAGGGACCCATAATTGACCCTTGGGATACTCCCACTGTTTTATTGGATCCTTTTGATTTCGAACCATAAATTTCTCTTATTTATTGTATTTTTTTTATTATGATTAAGTGGAATATAATTGATTTTCTCTGATATTAACTCGTTGAGTAATAATTACGAAAAATGTTATGTTTCACACACTTTGAAAGTGTCCATGACGTTATACTTCAGAAGCTCAAATTGTTAAAACCTCCTGTTGTAAGACATTAACTAAGTTACTGTGAAGTTGTCCAGTAAAATTAACTGAAGACTGGATATATAATAATGAGTCATATTTATTTTTCTAACACATATAGTTTTTCATTGAAAAAACTATTTCGTTCACCTCGATCTTTTAGTACTAGGCCTCGAGTTACACGTGTAAAAAATCGACGAGCCAGCTCACACTTGTACTACGTGCAAAGTTACCATTCTCTTTACGAAGAAGCGAGTACTGCAGGTAGAGGCGGGCGGTGGTGGCGGCGCTCAGCAGGCAGAGGGCGCTGGCGCGGCGCGCGGCAGCGGGCGCACGAGGTAGAGCTTCTCGCCCTGCTTGTTGGTGTAGATGGGCGCGCGCTGGTAGTGCGCCACCAGCTGCTCCAGCGACGGGAACTTGCGCTGCCCGATGCAGTACAGGCTGCCCTCCACGTGCACGCGGAAGTGCTTGTTGCGGCCCGGCGCCTTCAGCGACACCGAGTAGTCGCCCACCTGCACGCCGCCCGCGTTACACTCCTCTCGCTCTCCTCCGATCCCCTTTTTTTTATACAGCTCAGAATGGCAAACGAGCTGGCGGCCCCCCCCCCATGGAAAGTGGTAGACGTCGCCTATAGACATGAGCAGTACCAGGGACGTAACAGAGTATATTGTTGCGCCCATGATACCCCCCGTGCGTTGCCGTTCCTGAGGACTCAGATGTTATTCCTCTGTACCCTGTAAATTCACGCCATATCCCACCCTTCAAACCGAAACATAGCCATACAAACACAACTGCTTCACGGTAGAAACACGAATGGGACAGAGAACATAACAGAATATACTGTTTCGCGCACGATACCCCCCGTGCGTTGCCGTTCCTGAGGACTCAGGTGTTACTCCCCTGTACCCTGGAGATTCACTGCCAGCACTTGCCACATTACAAGTATAAGCACTAATACAAGATAATAAAAGACAAGAGGTGTGCAGTGTACTGACGTTGGTCTCGGAGTCGCGTATGAGGAAGTCGCCGTCGTGTCCGTGCTGGTTGAGCAGCGCGTCGCAGTGCGTACGCGTGATGGCGCCGTAGTACCACGCGCGGCCCGCGCCACCACCGCCACCACCACCGCCGCCGCCAGCAGCACCACCCGCGCCCGGCTCGCTGCAACGAAACGACGGATACGTTAATGATAGTGTCTCACAGGGCCATTGCTAGCAGTCCCAGCCTATCGGGTCGACCTTCACGCGATTCCCCCTGAACATCATCGTAGCAAATCTATTAAATAGAAATATTTTTCTTATTAGATCTTCAAGAAACTTCCGATATCAGTGATTAATAATCTCGCCAAAACAGTAGAAGAAGAATTCCAACACGAGCCCGAGCTGGCCGCGGCCGCGTGCTGGCTACGTACCCGTAGGGCTGCGTGAGGTAGTCGGCCAGCTCCTGCAGGTAGTTGCGCGGCACGAGGCCGAGCTGGCCGCGCGAGTCGCGCGCGCGGTACCACTCGGGGTCTGACGGCGGCCGCTCGATGATCTCCAGCCGGTCGCCCTTCTCGAACGACAGCTCTTGCTCGTTGTTAGACGTAAACGAGTACAGCGCCACCTGCGGAAAGAAAAGAACTAGCTATACACCCCCCGCAAATCAACCTCCATATAATCACCCGAAGAACCATTGCAATCAATTATTTCAATTTTTTCAATCTTCCTGTAGTGTTATAACCCTCCACATCCGGGGGGAAAGGGATTGTTAGTAATGGGCTCATTGACCCACTGATACCAATACATCCTATCTAGTCGACCTCCACGCGGTTCTTCCTGGAAACCGTCGTGGTTAATTCTAATGGTATTCGTCACGATGGGCTAACTGACCTGTCTTTTCATCCTCACCTGTCATCCGTCACTGGTGCCCCGTCAGCGTATCCCGATAGCACAAGCGGGGTTACTATTCCATTATCACAAAAAAAAAACCCTCCACATCCATACTTAAAGATAATGTTAGAGCGTTGACCACCACGTGGTTTCCCTGGAAACTATCATGCTAAATTCTAGGTGTATTCATCCTGATGGGCTAAATGACTTGCCTTTTCATTCTCACGTATCATCCCACACTGCTGTACAGCTATCACCCAGCATATAGCTGGCGGGGCCGTTAGCGCAGGCGAGGTTACCATTCCATTGCCATCCATTAAAAACAAACCTCAAAAGACTGTCCATGATACTGCTCATGTCTATAGGCGATGGTTACCACTTTCCATCAGGTGGGCCGTCAGCTTGTTTGCCATTCTAAGTTGTATAAAAAAAAAACTTACCACAATGTCGAGAACATTTTCCGCCATCGCGTACGTATGTACAGAGTCTTCGTTGTCGCCCTCTTCGCTCGTGTAATTCGATGGGAACCTGGTTGAATTAAACATTCATATTTATTATATTATAATCTTCACACCTACAATTTCGTGGACGTAATAATAAAGGGCATTAAACACTTAATACGAGGGTTTTTCTGTGAAATGAGGTCAACTGGGGCACGCTGGGGGGAAAGGGATCGTTAGTAATGGAGACTGAGAATCCCATTGCTAGCAATATACCCAACCACGTCGACCTACTCGCGGTTCTCCCTGGAATCTATTATGGTTAATTCCTGACGAATTCATCATGATGGGCTAACTGGCCTGTTTTCATTCTCATCTATCACGTTTCACTGGTGCTCCGCCAGCGTATCCCGTTCGCGCAGGCGGGGTTACCACACCACTTTCACCCATCCAAAAAAAAAAAAAAAAAACTGGCGCACGCAGTAAATTCGAACAAGCATACAATAAATACACACTAAGCTCTATGAAATAAAAACGGGCTAGAAGGTATCGCTCCAGATAAAGATATAAACATAATATTTATAAGTGGCGAGAGGTACTCGGGATAGCGTAAATCGGAACACATTTGATGCGCGACAGGGTCTCGTTTAAGATGCTTAAGTGGTTAAAGAAACAAATACCTAGTATCCATTCGATTAATGTTGCTGTAAACCTTTAAAAAAGAGGTTTTAAATTCGGTTGGACTTGCTTTATGTTTGTTACCTCATAACTCCGTCAGCTGTAAACCGATTCGGATAATTCTTTCTTATCTAACAGGATACACTTTCAGATTACGCCCATAGAATTTTTATCAAAATAAATTCAGTAGTTTAGTTTTTTTTTACAACTTAGAATGGCAAACAAGCTGACGGCCCACCTGATGGAAAGTGGTAACTGTCGCCTATAGACATGAGCAGTACCATGGACATAACAGAGTATGCTGTTTCGCCCATGATACCCCCTATGCGTTGCCATTCCTGAGGACTTAGGTATTATTCCTCTGTACCCAGTAAATTCACGCCATATCCCACCCTTCAAACCGAAACACAGCCATGTTTATTATTATTTATATAAAAAAGTATTTTAGGATTTAAGATTTTAAGATTTAAGATCTCTGTCCGAAGATTCAAGATCGAAACCCTTAGTTCTTATAACATTTACGAGGTAATCTCAGGTAACTTTAGCATGCTTTAGGGAACCGAGTGATCTGAGTATGTTGTTAAAGGAATTTTCGCTAATCAAAGGGTAAGTCATTTGAACTAATTTAGTAGTAGACAATTGTAATTTAGTAGTACTTTTAAAACAACTTGTCGGTTTTCGCATTCTCAAATATTTCAAAGAACTTATCGTACATACAGTCCACTTTATATTCTCGCACAGTATTAAATAAGATTCAATGACAATTTAGCATATTAAAATAATTTAACAATATTTAAATTAGGCGTAATAGCTTACAATGAATTAGCTTAGTTGATAACAATATATGTAATTTAACAAATACAATCTAATTAAAGTATTCGAGTGTTCGTGACCGAATTCCATATAATTATAATAATTAACATCATATATCGCAGGCTGCAGTTGCTAGCGAGCTATACAACTTAGAATGGCAAAACGAGCTGACGGCCCACCTGATGGAAAGTGGTAACCGTCGCCTATAGACATGAGCAGTACCATGGACATAATAGAGTATACCGTTTCGCCCATGATACTCCCCATGCGTTGCCATTCCTGAGAACTAAGGTATTATTCCTTTGTACCCAGTAAATTCACGCCATTACTGCCGGCCTTTTAAAAACGAATATGCTCTACATACATAGGGACAGACAGGTGGGAAGCGACTTTGTTTTATACTGTGCAGTGACAGCGATGAGAGCAGACAAAACAAGAGTTAATTGTTCAGTGAGTGATGGTATGATGGCAGAGTGGGTGGGCACTCACCAGCCGGTGTGGCCCTGGTACTGGCCGCGCCACCAGCCGTCGTTGCTCTTCTCGAGGATGAGTATGCGCGTGCCCTTGGTGAGCGAGAGCTCGTCGGGCTGCTGCGCCTGGTAGTTGTACTTCACCACGGCGGCGCCCAGCGCGTCCGCCGGCTCGGCCCGCCGCCCGCCAGCCGCGCCCGCCGCGCCCGCCGCGCCGGCCGGCGACTCCGCGCCGCCGCGCACCGGCGAGTTGCTCGACGGCAGCGTCTTCGACCCCGAGCCCTTCTTCACCTTCTTCTTAATACTGCAAGTGGATGCAATAGTGCATCTATTACTTGTCGATTTTAATCTAAGTTTATTATGTAACTGGCGGCCCGTCCCGGCTTCGCACGGATGGACATTTTTACAACATTTTAAAAAGTGATTATTGTGACATAACGACAATAGTTGAAAATATAGTATCGCCAAGTTTTTTATAGTTATTGATATTTTCTTCAATATTGTAAAACATACTTTTGTTCTATCACCAATAGTTTCAGCAGCGCATGCGACGAAAGATATTTTATAGCATTTTTTTACACCTTCAGTTACGTTACTAAAGTTTCAGTAAGGATCCCTAATCTTTTCTAGTAATAAATACAGCCTATGTTACTCGGGGTGAATGTAGCTTTCTAATGGTGAAAGAATTTTTGAAATCGGCAAAGTAGTTTTTGAGTTTATTCATTACAAACATACATACACAAATACAAATCTTTCCTCTTTATAATATTAGTGTAGATGTAGATTAAGACACACCGCACGCCGTTATGCACAATTAAAGTCGAGGATTGTGAAACATGTTTTTTTAATTGGTTCTAGCCTATTACTGTTTGTATTTTAGGCCCGAAATTTTTATCTTGGTTCTTGAAGGATAATTTGGCGTACTTATTTAATAAAAAAAAAAATATTAATGAGAATATTTATTCGTGTAATATTACAACATGGGCCAGCGACTTGATATACAGTTTTGTTCAGTTTCCCTCCCCTTGATTGGCAACCATTTACTTAATACAGTTTTAACAGGACGGAAAGAAGTGATGGCATATATTTCTTACTCCATCAACATAATATATATTAAATATTTTTAAAGAAAACGTACACTTAAACATTTATACAATTTAAAAAACTGATATTTTATTTATATTGTTCATCTTTATAATCTGTATTATTCTTCAAAAATGCACCGCCTACGTATTTCTCTGTTCGCCCAATGGTTGACTGGTAGAGAACACCGTCCGGTATTAAGTCCGCCAAATGTACATAGAATTTTACTGTGCATTAAAATTTAAATAAATAAATATAGACACTTGCAATATCAAGGGCATTGCATGTACATTGGCATATTAAAGGAAAGGTTTCTTTCATATACATTTGACAATTTTTTCGACAAACCTGTCAAACAGTGAGGGCTTCTCTTTCTTGACATAGTTGCTGGGCACGTAGCCGGACTGGCTGCGCGCGTTCTGTACGCGCCACCAGTGCTTGGAGTCGTCCAGCAGTAAGTACCGCTCATTCTTGCGCAGGTCCAACTCCTGCGCGCCCTGCGCTGTATAGTCATACTTCGCTACGACGTAGCACACATCGTCCTGGAATACGAACACTACAGGTAAATAATCTGATAACATAAAAAAAGACAGATTAAAAAAATATCACAGAACTGGATTACACAAGCATAGAATAGGCAAGAGTGGAAAAAATTTAAGGAGAGTTATAATATAACCCTTTTTAGGGGTTTCCATACTATAAAATAAAAAAAAAACTAAAAATGATAAATTTTTAAATACTAACACAAATCAAACACTAACATTAAATATTTTTTTTATACAACTTAGAATGGCGAACAAGCTGACAGTCCACCTGTGGGAAAGTGGTAACCGTCGCCTATAGACATGAGCAGTACCATGGACATAACAGAGTATACTGTTACGCCCATGATACCCCCCATGCGTTGCCATTCCTGAGAACTAAGGTATTATTCCTCTGTACCCAGTAAATTCACGCCATATCCCACCCTTCAAACCGAAACACTGTTGTGATGGGACTAAAATATGCACACACTGGCATAGTTTCACTGGTGACTTATAAGAGATGAATCATATTATGATTTGTGTAAAGTCCCAGGACAAAAGGAAATAAAAACAATGAAATATCGCTTTTTTAATAGTATAATTGAATGAAGTGGCAGAAAAAGACAACAAATGTTATTCACCCCCTTTATACTTTCATAGAATAATAAATTTAATTAAAAACACCTCTCTGTTCATTAATATCCAATTAAGTTTTAGTAGTTAAACATATATAATGTTATACATTTTTTTGTATTTTTTTTTTATTATCATTTAATAGCAATAAATAATCTTGCATCATCTGACTCCTCCATATAACTAAAATATATATATATATATATATATATATATATATATATATATATATATATATATATATATATATATATATATAAAAGTAACCATTTCCATGGATAATACTGTGTTACTTCATATCAATTGATATAGCTAGTGAAATACCATAAGGTAATGGAACAGACCAACCAACAAACTCACTTTCAAATTTATAACATTCATCATCATATATCAGCCATTATCCGTCCACTATATATATATAAAAAATATATGCTTCCACTCCCTATGATGCATATATATATATATATATATATATATAGTGGGGGTCATCCTACACTATGTTTGCCCGTACAGGATCACCACCCAAGAACCTTACACCATTAGTGGAGATTAATAAATAAGATGTCACTTTCAGTATTCCAAATGATGCCTATATAAATTTATTATCTCATGATTGAGAATCACCTATTAAATAAATACATGTACTGAACTATGGGAACTTCATATGCCATGTAAAGAGATTATGTCATAATAGCTATAGAATGTTTACTGTGAGAAATTCAACTCGGTTCAATTGTAAATGTTATTTAACTTATTAAGTAAGTAACATTAATTTCTCATGAAAGAAAAACAAAGTCTATGAACTTTTATAGCAATTATTATATTGTTTACAGCTTTCTATCTGTAAAATAGCATTAATATTATATTTACCTTTAGTTTTCCTTCCCCGACTTTTTCTATTACTTTCTAATATTTAGTTTAATTTACAATTTTACATTCAATTGAGAGTCTTGAGAATTTAGAGAGAAACCCTGCATTTGGGAAGTTATCTTATTCAAATGAATTGCTCAATTAAGTAAATTGAGATTGTCCTGTTTTATAAAAACTATTGTAGCTACATAGTTTCTGCCCTAATATTTGCCTAAAAACTAATATTAGACAATGTAAACTAAACAGAAAGGAGGCCTGCAATATGTTACAATATGTTACAGTTATCACCTTCTAGCCCTTATCCCAATTATTTGGGATCAGCATAATTTTATTTATTCATATTACTCAAAGATTTGATTTTGGTTTTATGGTTGGTTATTTACATGACATCAACCCTTCTTGGAAATGCATTTGGTGGTGGTATCCAACACCCCCCATTTGGAGAAAGAAAATGAGGAAAAAGGATAGGGGCATTGGAAGTTGGCAAAAAAGGAAAGGGAGACAATGCAGTTGTGGAGGGGATACTAGTCAAAAACTGTAGTGGCTCAGAAAACTGGGGATATCACTGGAGAGCAACACCCCTGGCACATATTACAGTATACGAAATAATTAGGAATGTGCACACACAAAATTTAAAAATAATGAAATTGTTTTTCCAAAGAAGGCAATATTAACAGGGGCTACAATTTTCAACCAAATATATCAAGCATTTTACTGTCCACTTTTGAACACAGGCCTCTGTCATAAGAGGGATTACAACCATGTACATTGTGTATAAATACAGTAAATAGTATCAAAGTTATAATTCAAACTTGTACACAGGTATTGACATATATACTATCATATATATTAACTGTGTATTATAATACTAATTAGTTGCCTTGTATTTGTGTAGTCCATGATGGGACAGTGGTAACTTGTAACAAAGGTTCTTCAAAACCTACCGCAAGCACCAGTCTCTCACAAAATTGGTCTTCATATCAAATTGTACCTCAAGTTGTTACTTTATACTACCTTTTGTGAAGAGAAAATAAACCATTCATTCATTCATACTATTAATTAGTGCATACTTAACAGATACCTAATGTAGTATATATCCAGATTAATATTATTACAATATAATGTTAGCAAAGTTTAATACTTCCATAAACCTATGTCTTGACATCTTGTTCTTTAAGAGTTAGAGAGAAAAAAAATACTATTTCACAGTTATCCATAAAACTGAAATAGTTCTATATTCATATGAATATACTTTAGTAATAGTCTATTATTTATTTTATATATTATATGTTAGTTTGGCTTGAGATAATGTACTTAGAGTACATTTCATATTTTTTATTGAACAAGTGGTAAATTATTTGAGATGATAATTGCATCATTATGACATGCACATCACTAAATTGGGTTATTCTAGTATGCCTCTAGTTGGAGTTACAAACCAGCAGTTTACAGTGTAAGGACTACAATAGATGGTTGTCATGTTATAATGAATGTAAGGTGGAGAAACCACCAGTTTATCTATTTCTCCAGTGATTTAAATACAATTGGTTAAGCATATGTTTGCAAAATTAAAAAGACTATAGCTTAAACATATATAGATCTAATAGGATAATTACAGATACTTTTATCTGTAGAGTGTTTACCTGAGCATTTTTTCCATGCCTGGTATTGGCCATGGCGTGTGGTGCCGGCAGCGGTTTGCTCGCCCACACCGAATCAGCGGCGCGCATCGACCGCGTCTCCAACATGACACCCCCGACCAGGGATCCCGTAGGTCAGCGCCGCCGCCCTCGCTCAATGATACATTGCGACACAGATTCCAAACACTGCACTGCACCACTCCACTACACCAGCAGACACGATCGATGATAATGTAAAATGCCACAGAAAACTCGTGATTGTTTATTACGGATTGTGTGAAAATTCGATCGAAAGCTAGTAATCAGCGAAAGGAGACGAGCATCAGACCGATGAGGACATTGAGAACTATTTTATTCATTAAAAATATTTTCTACACCAACTTAAACAAAGCGTATAGTCGTGTGAATTTATTTCATAAACTATTAAATATTTCTCTTTAGTATATTACTAAAATTTATATAGATAATTTTAGTATAATTTTATTTCACAAAAATATCGGTGGGGCAACGACAGGCAACGACGAATCAATAGACAATTTTTTTTTCTCCCCAATGACAATGAATGCTAATGAACACCAAAGACACAGAACATCATGAATATTTTCTAATAGAGAGTCTATACAGTTAAGATAATACAAGTGGAACAACAGACAGTTTTTCAACCCACCTAACAATCATAAATTAATCGCACTACATTTTGCTTTTTTTAAGAGTTAATCTCATCGAAAATTAACAATCAATTCCTATATTGGTAAATATGTTACATTTTAGTCACATTAAATGTTGCACAAACTAAATTATTATGATGAATGTTATTGATAATCCGTTGTTGTTGTTGTTGTTGTTTTATCTAAGATCACCGTATTATCTTTTGTAAATTCAATTTATCTATTAAATAACTTTCTATTTTATGTTATTTGGTTTTTGCAGCAACTTAAAACCCATCAATAGGAGGAGGTCTATAGGCCTATGTTCAGCACTGGACAGTTAACAAATAATATAATATAATAATAATATTTGAATAAACTTACATTTTGTTTTGTTTTATATATAGATCAACAGACGTTTGATTCGTGTAAGTGTGTTCTGTGGTGTTGTTAGGATGTTCCCTCTATAGTTTGTGGTCATCATACAGTCAGTCAAACTGTCATTGTCACTGTCAGTTAGTTATCAGTTGTGGTGCCAAGAGCGATTCAACCAATAGTTGTGTTTGTGGCTTTTTCCCTTTCTTCCTTCGTATTGATCTAAAAAAACATTGTTATCTCGAAATCCATAAATGGATGAAGAACACTGATATTTTCCTCAGTGATAATGTCTGACTCGGAAGGCAGTAATTATTCTGGGAATGCGTCTGACGCGGGCAGCGTGGTTTCGAATCGTTCTCGTAGAAGCGCCGCGTCCAACCGTTCAGCCAGGTCGCGCTCGAGTTCTCGATCACGTTCACGGTCCGGCAGCCGCAGCCCGTCGCGAAGCCCTACGCGCTCTCGGTCCAAGTCAAGGTCACATTCCCGATCTCGTTCAAGGTATATATATAAATATGGTAATGTTTTTAATGTATAGTTTTCAGTTCTCACGTAGGCAATTATAACACATCTTGCACTGTTGGCATCGTCATTTGTTCGTGTTACAATATTCTTATTATTTTTGCTACTCATGCCATTATGAACATTGATGATATCAATAAATCAATTCGTTTCCTTTGTATATAAATACAACAAATACAGATACTATGCAACAGGGGTTATCTTAATTTTCCTCTATACATGACTTGTGTAATAACATTTGTATTGTTAATACATGCATGTATGTAATAAGTTACACACATACATCCATTATTGTGTTTAGAACAACTAGAACTAGATTGATATGGTGTACCATATCAATCTAGTTCAAATTGTTTACATTGATTCTTCAACATACATACCATATAGAGATATGATTTGCTTGAGTAGGCCAAGTTATAAGTCGTTAAGTACTTATGACTCTCCAACTTGTATAAATAGATTAATGTAAATGAGGTGGTATCAGTATGTTTAACCACTTAAGCATCTCAAATGAGACCCTCTCATACATCAAATGTATTTCGATTTGCGCTATCCTGAGTACTTCTCGCCACTTATAAATATTATGTTTATATTTATTTCTGGAGTGATACCTTCTCACCCGTTTGTGTTTCATAGTGCTCAGTTGACTTCATTTCACAGAAAAACTCTTGCATTAAGTGATTAAGCAATTTGAGCATTTGCCATTCTATTGATTTTGTCAACCCTGATTTAAGTTGATGTTTTTAACTCTTCTTCCCCTTGCACCTAAAAGAGCAAATTGACTTTCTATATTCCATCAATTTTCTTAATCTAAGTTCTTTTGAGGGCCTCCAGTTGAAGATGCTAGTACATTTTTCTATTTTTTATGACAAATCGTTGACAGTGCAAACTGTACCCCTATGGAATAGTTTACTAGTTTCTATTGAAATATCAAATGTCTGCCGAGTTTTAAAATAAAACTTAAAGAGTATCCATCTATTTATATATATATATATGTGTGTGTGTGTGTGTGTGTGTATGTATAATATTGCAACTCTGAAAATCAATAAAAATATATATTTAGTAATATTTACATATGACCTGTGGCTTGATATGTTGATAAAAAAAGCCTATATGTTTTCCAAACAAAGTACTGGTGTTTATTTATAATAGAACTATAAAATGGAATGAAACCCTGCCTGAACTATTAAGTTATACTGGTGGAATCCCAATAATGGATGATAGGTGAGGATAAAGTTAAATCAGTTGTTTCATTGTGAATAATTTATTAAAAATGAACTATGGTAGTTTTGTGTGGAAAAGTAGGAAAAAGCAAGAAGGTCGAACTAACAGAGGGAGACTAGAGACCAGAGGGAGACTTTATACAAAAGTCGATTGCTTGGGTACCTCTGTCCCATTCGTGTTTCAACTGTGAAGCAGTTGTGTTTGCATGGCTGTGTTTCGGTTTGAAGGGTGGGGTATGGCGTGAATTTACTGGGTACATAGGAATAACAACCGAGTCCTCAGGAATGGCAACGCATGGGAGGTATCATGGGCGAAACAGTATACTCTGTTATGTCCATGGTACTGCTCATGTTTATAAGTGATGGTTACCACTTTCCATAAGGTGGGCCGTCGACTTCTTTGCCATTCTAAGTTGCACAAAAAAAATTTACTATTAATGTTAGATGACTGATCAACATGTAATTATGTTGTAGGAGTCGCTCAGTTGGATCTGATGGAAGCCATAATAGGGATGACGAAGCCAAGGAAGCATCTGGTGATGAAGAAGTTGAGGTTAGAAACTTAGCATATTTCATTTTTCATAATATTATCATCTTAACAGCTCAAGTACCTAACATTGGCTTACACATAAATTTAGAGATTTTACAATCTCTTTCCAAAAAATTTGTGATATATGTATTATATTAGAATAACCTTTACAGGATGAACAGGAGCCAGAAGGTGAGGACCTAGTGGATTCTGAGGAATACGATGAAGATGAAGATGAGGCAAGACAAAGGAAAAAACGCAAGAAGGACAACCGCTACGGAGGTTTCATTATTGATGAAGCTGAGGTGAGAATGTTAATTTTTATTGACAATTCGTTTTTGATCCTTCCCTCTTGTATTTAAAAATTTTATTTCGACATGTTATAACATTATTTCCATTTCCTTTCAGGTTGATGACGAAGTTGATGAAGATGATGAATGGGAAGAAGGGGCCCAGGAGATGGGCATTGTTGGAAATGAAGTGGATGAAATCGGACCCACTGCACGGGAAATTGAGGGCAGACGCAGAGGTACTAACCTCTGGGACTCACAGAAAGAGGAGGAAATTGAAGAATACCTGAGAAATAAATATGCCGATGAATCAGCAGCGCTCAGACATTTTGGGGAAGGTGGTGAGGAAATGTCTGATGAGATTACGCAACAAACTCTTCTACCAGGCATTAAGGACCCCAATTTGTGGATGATAAAATGTCGTATCGGCGAGGAAAAGGCAACAGTATTACTGCTCATGAGAAAATTTATTGCCTATCAGGACTCTGAGGAACCCTTTCAAATCAAATCAGTGGTCGCACCTGAAGGTGTGAAAGGTTATATTTACATAGAGGCATATAAACAGACACATGTTAAAGCCATAATCAATAACGTAGGAACTCTAAGGATGGGTATTTGGAAGCAGGACATGGTACCTATCAAAGAAATGACAGATGTACTGCGAGTTGTCAAGGAACAGTCTGGTTTAAAACCAAAACAGTGGGTTAGACTGAAGAGAGGACTTTATAAAGACGACATTGCTCAAGTGGATTATGTTGACCTAGCACAAAATCAGGTCCACTTGAAATTACTTCCTAGGATAGATTATACAAGGCTCAGAGGAGCTTTAAGGACTGTACAAAGTGAAAGTGAAGCTGCTAAAAGGAAGAAAAAGCGGCGTCCGGTGGCTAAGCCTTTTGACCCCGAAGCTATTCGAGCTATTGGTGGCGAAGTAACTTCCGATGGAGACTTCTTAATATTTGAGGGCAACAGATATTCAAGAAAGGGATTCTTGTATAAAAATTTTACGATGTCTGCTATCTTAGCTGAGGGTGTTAAGCCAACTTTAACAGAATTGGAAAGATTCGAGGAACAACCTGAGGGTATCGATATAGAGTTAGCAGCGCCTGCCAAAGATGACCCAACTAGCTTACACTCATTCTCTATGGGTGATAACGTTGAAGTGTGTTCTGGTGATTTGGCGAACTTGCAAGCGAGAATTATCGCTATTGACGGATCAATGATCACTGTAATGCCAAAACACGACGCTCTAAAAGATCCTCTCGTATTTAAGCCTAATGAATTGAGGAAGTACTTCAAGCAGGGTGACCATGTGAAGGTGTTGGCGGGCCGGTACGAAGGCGACACCGGTTTGATCGTTCGCGTAGAACCACATCGCGTAGTCCTAGTCTCCGATCTCACTATGCACGAGCTGGAGGTGCTTCCACGCGACCTGCAACTGTGTTCCGACATGGCGACCGGCGTCGATTCACTCGGTCAGTTCCAGTGGGGTGACATGGTGCAACTGGACCTACAAACCGTCGGCGTCATCGTTCGACTCGAGAAGGAAAATTTCCACGTGCTCGGCATGCAGGGCAAAGTCATCGAGTGCAAGCCGCAAGCGCTTCAAAAGCGCCGCGAGAACAGGTTCACGATGGCGCTCGACTCCGAGCATAACAGCATTCAGAAGCGCGACATCGTCAAGGTGATCGACGGCCCGCACGCCGGCCGGAACGGCGAGATTAAACACCTGTACAGGAACTTCGCGTTCCTCCAGTCGCGGATGTACCTCGACAACGGTGGCATATTCGTGTGCAAGACGCGGCACCTGCAGCTCGCCGGCGGCAACAAGAACGTGTCCACCAACAACAACCTGTCGCTCGGGTTCATGTCGCCGCGCATCCAGTCGCCCATGCACCCGTCGGGGCGCGGCGGCGCGACGCCGCGCGGCGGCCGCGGGCGCGGCGCCGGCCGCGGCGGCGTCACGCGGGACCGCGAGCTCATCGGCCAGACCATCAAGATCACCGGCGGGCCCTACAAGGGCAACGTGGGCATCGTGAAGGACGCGACCGGCAGCACGGCGCGCGTGGAGCTGCACTCGACGTGCCAGACCATCTCGGTGGACCGCAGCCACATCGCGGGCGCGGGCGGCGGCGCCGGCGGCGGCGGCGCGTCGGCGTACGGCCGCACGCCCGGCCGCACGCCGGCGCTGGGCGCGCACACGCCCACGTACCGCGACACCGGCATCAAGACGCCCATGCACGGCTCGCAGACGCCCATCTACGACGTGGGCGGCCGCACGCCGCACTACGGCTCGGCCACGCCGTCGCACGACGGCAGCCGCACGCCCGCGCACGGCGCCTGGGACCCCGCCGCCGCCGCCACGCCCGCGCGCCCCGCCGACTTCGAGTACGGGCTCGAGGACGCCGCCGGCGCCGGCTACGAGCCGCCGCAGCCCTACGGCCAGGCGGGGCCGTTCACGCCGCAGACGCCGGGCACCATGTACGGCTCCGACCACACCTACAGCCCGTACCAGCCGAGCCCGAGCCCCGCGTACCCGGCCGGCTACCTGGGCACGCCCAGCCCGGTGGGCTACTCGCCGCGGTCGCCGTTCGCGGGCGGCGGCGGCGGCGGCGGCGAGGAGGCGCCGGCCGACTGGGCGTCGCCGGACGTGGAGGTGCGGCTGCGTGCACACGAGGACGCGGCGCTGGCCGGGCAGGCGGGCGTGCTGCGCGGGCTGTCGGGCGGCATGTGCGCCGTCTACGTGCCCGCCGAGGACCGCGTCGTCAACGTGCTCGCCGACGTGCTCGAGCCCGTCGTGCCGCAGAGCGGCGACAAGGTCAAGGTCATCGCGGGCGAGGACCGCGAGGCCGTCGGCCAGCTCATCTCGATCGAGAACCAGGAGGGCGTCGTCAAGTTCGGCACCGACGACATCAAGATCATGCAGCTGCGCCACCTGTGCAAGATGAGCACCTCGTAGGCGGGGAGCGCGCCCTCGCAGCCGCGTGTTGCGCCGTGCCGCGTTATGCGACATCTTCTTCTATATGATACTTGAATATTTAGTCTGCACGATTCTTTTGCGAATGTTCCAGTTTTGTGTATTTTTTCATTAATTTCTAACCCATTGAATTGTAGAAAATCCTTGTATAAATTGGCTACGATGATATGGCACAGCCCTAATTTACACAGATTTGACTTTCGATATAATACTCTACATATATATATATATATATATATATATATATACATATTCTGTTATATAATACTCCTCTGTCTAGACCGCTACTGAAGACATTTCCTAATAAACACAAACAAAGCACTACATCTATACCTATATGATCCCACACATTGGAACATGAAGTTAAAAGGCCATCCCATGTTAACGTAGACAATCTATACACAGTACTTGTAATGAAATAAAATATCGTTCGAGTGTCGTGCCGTCTGAATGTGTGTGTTAATAACTTGTAGATAGTAAGGTATCACAGTTAACGTCGTGTGTCACTTCTATCGTGAAAGATGTTAGCAGTGGAAGTTTAATTTAATTACATTAAAATTGGTAATTCACTTATATATTATGACATAAATAAATATATTATCATAACAATTAAGTTTTATTTTAACAATACTACAGATATTAATATCATATTATATATAATTGTTCTTCGTAAAAGAAGCGACATCATTTGTCGATATTTCGATTAAAACGATAAATGACGTAAATATTTGAATTTAGAACACAATGGCTAGTTACCATTGATTCGCAACGAGTAATTTTAGAAAAACTAGCCTCAATTGTTACAATTTAAATAGGATCAAAACGAAAGTAAACCCTATCAAAGTATCAATTGCAAAAATAATTGTGAAAATCGGTTCAGAATTGGCGATTGAACGTAATCATTTTATAATCACATAATATATCCCGCAAAGGTTTCAGACAAATTTAGAACTTTGAAACATTTGATTTATACTAAAAGATTTATCATCTTTTTAGGGTGTTTATTCTTTATTTAAACAAGAAACTACGATTTCAATATCGACACGCTTATAAATTATAATTATATTTAGAAATTGAAAATCAACCTACGTGAACAATAAACCAATTTAAAAAATTAATTAAAAAAGATTTTTTTGGTTTGTGACCAAAAAAATCTTTTTTTACTATATATATATATATATATATATATATATATATATATATATTATATATATATATATATATATATATATATATATATATAAGTATATATATATATAATATATATATATATATATATATAAAATAATTTTAAGTAGATTCTGTAATACCAAGAGGTAACAAACATTTTAAAAAGCACAATTCAGGTGATCGTTACTAGTCCGTATTTTTTTGTAATGGTAGCTCCGCCTCCGCTAACGGTATACGCTGACGGGGTGCCAGTGTGGGATGATAAGTCTGAAAAAGGCAGGTGAACAGTGGAATGGGCTGCCCGTATTACTAATAATCCCTTCTCCCCTAAGTTGATTTGATGAAGCAGGCCAGTGGGCCCGGTACGTGACGAATTCATCAAAAATTAACGACAATGGTTTTTAAACTGCACAGAGTTCGACCCCTGTTAAGGTATATAACTAGTAATGTAGATTCCATTCCATCCCTGCCCCCCCCCCCCCCCCCCAAGCAGTGCAATTGTTTTATCATGACAAGTTTACTACGATATGTAAGCATGATGGTTTTCCAGTGGGAGATAATAGGTGAGGATGAAAAGGCAGGTCAGTTATTTTTTTTTTTATACAACTTAGAATGGCAAACATGCTGACGGCCCACCTGATGGAAAGTGGTAACCGTCGCCTATAGACATGAGCAGTACCATGCATATAACAGAGTATACTGTTTCGCCCATGATACCCCCCATGCGTTGCCATTCCTGAGAACTCAGGTGTTATTCCTCTGTACCCAGTAAATTCACGCCATATCCCACCCTTCAATCCGAAACACAACCATGCAAACAACTGCTTCACGGTTGAAACACGAATGGGACAGAGGTACCCAAGCAATCGACTTTTGTACAAAGTCTCCCTCTGGTTAGTTAGTTAGCCCATCATGACAAATTCAATGATAAATTAGTCACGATAGTTTCCAGGGCAAATCGCGTGGAGGTCGACCTGATAAAGTATATTATCAAGTCATAAAATATATTGATAGCAATGTGGACTAACCTCCCCATCACTAACAATCCGTTCCCCCCCGAATGGTTTACTATATCCCATCATTAACGATCTTGACAATGTAGTGGTATATTGTACTAATCGCCGCGCAATATTTTGGGAATGAAAAGATTAAGTGGTAATACTAGTTTGGTGAGGGAAAAGGGATTGTTAGTAATGTAGACTGAGAATCCCATTGCTAGCAATATACCCAACCAGATCGACCTCCACGCGGTTCCCCCTGGAAACTATCATGGTTAATTCCTGATGAATTCATCATGATGGGCTAACTGGCCTGTTTTCATTCTCATCTATCACCCTTCACTGGTGCTCCGTCAGCGTATCCCGTTAGCGCAGGCGGGGCTACCATACTATTTTCACCCATCAAAAAAAAAAAAAAATTGGTTTGGTGGCGACAACTGCGTTTCTTCATTACCATCATGGACTGAGAATGCTATTTCTACTGCCACCACTCTTCAGTTATACATATCTCTACCCTCAAAACCTCAGCCTTATACAGCTGTTCCATAAACATTTCAATTTCAATCTTATACTTGACTAGCGACCCGCCCCGGCTATGCTTGAGTGTAACATTGTTTAAGAGGTCACTGGTTATGAAATAAAACTCGTGTCATTCTAGGGGAATCCAACTCATGTATTAACAGTTCCACAACTTTGCAATTAAAATACATTTGTATTAAAGCGACTTACCAAATTATACGTCTTTAATGATCAATGTTCAATCCACTACTGTCAACTGTTGGTCGTTACTTCTAGTTTTTATGTCGACTATTTTGGCGGGTAAATAATTATTCCGGAAATGACAAACCACCATTTTGCAGTTAATTCAAATCAGCAACGGTGGCACTTGACAACAGTTACGTCATGATACAAATATAATAAAATATTACTAAATGTAAGGATACCAACAATTGGTTTATGTAATTTTTACACAATTCAACACAGTAAGGCTGGCATTTTGGCGTGTGTGAAAATACTGCATTAATATTCTCTAAGATTTTAAAATGAATGGCTTGTACTCGTAACATTTTTTTATGCAATTTAGAATGGCAAACATGCTGACGGCCCACCTGATGGAAAGTGGTAACCTTCGCCTATAGACATGAGCAGTACTATGGACATAATAGAGTATACTGTTTCGCCCATGATACCCCCCATGCGTTGCCATTCCTGAGGACTCAGGTGTTATTTCTCTGTACCCTGTAATTTATATTACTTTAAACATAAAAACCATCTTTTTGGTTGAGATATTAGACTTAGATATATGGTATTGGTATACATTTTTTGTAAAGTGTAAACTAATTAATATTTTTGCTGTAATTTTTTTTCCTTTATTTAAAACCGTTCAGTCTACACACGCCTATATTATAGAATTTTGACGACTTCAATTACATTTGTTGTGATTTATTTTTAAAAATATATACTTATCAAAATAAAAAGCTGTCTCAGGGAAATATACCTTTCAAACAGTGAAAGAATTTTCAAAATGGGATCAGTACTACCGGAGATTATCTTGAACATCCAAAATTACTAACTTTATATCTGTATGGTATGGAATATGGTAGGTCACGGTGATGGCAAGAAAACGAAGACTCTTACAATTGGATTTTATTTTACGTTTTTAATATCGTTAATTACAGGTAATAAATAGACGTGTGGTGTCGATCGCATCTAGGTGCAGACTGGGCGTGGCGTCCGTTGCGCCGATTATAAGTTTAAAAACGACCGCACGCAGAGACAATGACATAGACAAACTATTTTATTAATAATTGAGTTTTGAGGCACAGAACACGTCGCTTACAATATCTTTATAATATTATTAGAGAAACTGAACATTTTTTCAGAGAAATATAGTTGAAAATGTACTAAAAACTATCTGTATAAGTTTGTATAAAATTGCTTAGTACCTAAGGTTAAAACAGATGGCGCTGCCAAAAAATTAGACGGCGCTATAATTTGATTTGTTACGTAGGCTAAATACATGTATTATTATTGGAATAAAATAACTTTCTCATGTACAACGATCCAACATCACTGGTTTTGTTTTATTTCGACACCAGAGGACGCTCGTCCATAGTTCAGTGCTGGATTGTGTGTACATATCGCATGCTTAATGTAATACTGACTCTTTAGTAGATAGGTCAGAATTGAGTTACTTACAGATGTAGGCTTCTGTTACCACTATCTACCGTCTACCTTTTGAATTATGTTGAAATTACGCATTGTTGCCACCCCTGCAATATATCCGTCTCTTTCACATTTGTGGGATCTCTCTTCGTATTTTCGTCAAACAGAGACTCACGCCAGTTTGTGTCCAGCACTTGTAGAGAGAGGTTATTATAGTTTTATTGAACGAAGACCCAATCATTATTGAGTGTGTTTACGACTAAATTTGAAGTAAGTTTTATCCAATTTTGTAATCTTATATTGACAGATTAAATTTGAGGTCAGTTTAATAGATATTTTACTAATATATTACGTGAAACATTCTGTTTTAAGACAATTTAATATTATACGTTATTATATCTTTTGGGAGCTATTAAGATTTAAGTCAGTTTACTATTAAAACAATCCATTACTTGAGGTAACACTTTATAGCATTCGAGTATAAGTCTGTTTACCACTGAAAGTTATTTTTACTTAGGGGCCATAATATTAGTTTAGTCTTTGTTTGAAAAAAAGAATGGAATATAATGCGTAACTTTTTGCTTTTCCTGTAAATATTTTATATTAAGTCATTGTTGATCTAAAAACTACTTACAAAAATTTTTTATTGTCCCAGAGGCATAATATGACTATTTATATTTTAGGTTGATAATGTCGCTGAATAGCTCGAAAAAGATAATAGAACTTATTCGGACTCGAAATCCGGCGCCACTATTGGCAACACAAGATAAAGGACACGAATCAGTGCCATCAACAGAAGTGACGGTAACAATTTTAAAGAACTTTAAAAATTAGGTTCGTATATTTCTTATTTATTTTAATATATTACTAAAATACGTTTTATTATTGTAGATGTTAACTGATATAACAAACAATCCCGAAAATCAGCATTACTCAAACGTACAGGAATATTTTGAAGTTTTGGAATCACCTTCAATTAACAATGAAAATGACTTTCATAACATCACAGACATCCACGATTGCACTGATGAAAAACATTCCAAATCTGAAAATAGCGATGTCGATTTGAGCGATCAAGATTCGACATACATTCCAACTAAAAAGAAAAAGCAAATACCAGTATATCCAAGTCGATCAAGATCATCAGGGAGCTCCTCATCTTCTACATGTTCTTCATCCTCATCATCTTCAGGATCTTCGAGTGATAGTTCCGATACAGACTCCAGTAATGAACAAAACAAAATAAAAAATAACATTATTCAGCAATCAGCAAAACAATCGGAGCAAAGAAACATTAATGAACCTACAATAACCGAAGTTGCGAAAAATCAGGAAATCAGACAATATACTACATTACTAGAAGAAAATGAAGGCGAGAAGAAGGGAAGGAAACGTAAACGGAAAGAAGAAAGCTGGAAACAGAATAAAGCTAAAAGTCTGAGAAATGCAGGAAAATCATACATCAATATGAAAAATAAAACAATTAATCCTCGTTCTGTTCAACTACCCTGTGGTATTCAATGTAGACTCAAATGCTGTAAAAAGATAACTGCAGATCAAAGACAAACAATTTTTGATATGTATTGGAATCTCGGCCAGGTTGATGCTCAAAGATCATTCATTATGTCTTGTATGACTAATATAAACCCAAAATATAAATATACAAATGCTAGTAATCCAAGAAATTGCAATAAAGCTTTCCATTTCGTAGTAGAAGGGCAGTCTGTTCGAGTCTGTAAAACGTTTTTTATAAAAACCTTAGATATTTCTGATCGTGTTATACGAACTGTCAGAAGCAAAATAGATGAACATGGAATTCTAGCACAAGATCTGAGAGGACAGCACAACAACCATGCAAGAGTTGATAAACAACTACTAAACGATATTAAAGAGTTTATAGATTCGATACCAAGAATTGAATCCCATTACATTAGGCAATATTCTACTCGTGAGTATATTGATGGCGGGAAAACAATTTCAGATCTTTTCAGAGACTTTAAAGTAGCTCAAAATGAAAATAACAAAGCAGCTGGTAGATATTGTACATTTTATAAAGTATTTACACAAGATTATAATATATCATTTTTTCGTCCCAAAAAAGATCAATGCGATTTATGTTTGCAATATAATAACACGACGCTTCAGCAAAAAGTATTACTTAATGATTTGTACAATGCCCATTTAGAAGAAAAAACATTGAGCCGCCAAGAAAAATATAATGATCGCTGCAAAATAGATGATGGAAATAAAGTTCTTGTGTTTGATCTACAAGCTGTTTTGCAATCTCCTAGAGGAAATAATTCAGCATTTTATTACAAATCAAAATTTGAAAAAACTTCAAGAAGATTGGGGTGTTAACTTTAATAAAAGTAAAAACGGGACTACTGTTTTATGGAATGACATAAAGGTGATAATGGTGAAAAAAGATACACCTTTTTCATTTTTCATTAAAACTTCGTACAAACATAACGTATACCAGGAAGTAAGCATCAGAAATACAAGGAAGAAAATGCTTCCTCTGCTTCTAATTAAACTAACTAATGCCTACATACAAAAGAAAGAGCTAAGTGAGAACAAAAAGAAAGATCTGAGAGAGCTTTTATCAAAAAAAATTATTCCAAATTTTTATTTAGATTTTTATAACTCTATTCTTTAATAGTGTACCCACCTTATAATTAATAAATTAACTTAAGATTAATAAAACAATGATTACATACCAAAGTTATTTAAAAAAATCTAAAAAGTTTAATTATGTTTTCTTTATAAGTTTTGATTTTGTTTTATAGTAATTTAACTAAACTTGATTAATACATTGATTTATTTTATAGGTTTAATAACCAAAGTGTGTATATTTTTTAAGTTTGTTAAAACTTTTATGTTCTAATATAGAAATTTTGTTTTATAATTTCAATTCAAACAAGCAATTCTTTTGCTTTTTTTTGCATTATTTTTATGTTGATTTATAGAACCAATAAATAAAATTGAGACGTCAAATTTGTTATTTGTATGTGCTACTGATAAAGAATATTGCAATAAAAGTTTATTATTTATATTAATGTCTTTTAATAATTTGAAAAATGGCTGGTATTAAGTTTATCGACAGTCTGCTAATTTGAATAAAATGACCCATTCTCTAAATATGTTTTCCCAATGTAATCATATATAGACTAAATCCTAAATTAGTTATTATAAATAATTAATAATTTAAAATGAAACAGGCTTAAAACCTAATAGAATACTTGCATTTAAAAATGTTTGCTTTACTTTTTATAAAAAACTGACTTAACTTAGAATGTACATTTTACATATTTTTTTTTAAATAGATAGAAATTATTTTCGGCATTTGTTTTTACTTGGTATTGATCAATAGTTAATCATATTTTTAAAATACAATCATTCATGGTTAATTAATAATCCGTTTTAATGTTATTCATCAACAAGTAGGCTAAGTCCTTATAGCAAAATCTTCTTTTGCGATTTCCCAACAATTGTATTTTTTGAGTTAGGTCAGTCTTTCATTAGGCATGCGATATTTTGGTCCAATCGAGCCGGAGGCCAATCTTCCCCAGAGTTGGGTGGTAAGAAAGGCTGAAGATAGAACATAGTAGGGGCAGTGGATCGCTGCTCGGGTTCAAGCATCAGTACTGCTTGGCTCTGCTCAAGGAGTGAGCGAGACAGCGTTGGAGCTAGAGGTTGGAGGTACCAGCGACGTCAGAGGAAAAACAGAAACGTCACATGGTGTGACGGACCAGTAGCAGTAAGTGTTGTGGTGTGAGTGCGATAGCAGATATTTTTAAAATTTTATTAATTACAATTTAATAATTACTTAATATGGAGGGGTTATTAAATTGTCAAAAGGATATATTTAATAGAATATCAAAGGCTCAAATAAACTTTAAAAAATCTCCTAAAGAGCGAATAACAGAGTCTTACGTAGAAACAAAACTTGATAATGTAGAACAGTTATGGCTTGAGTTTATTACTACACATCAGCAAATAATTAAGGAATATAAATGGGAAGATATACAGCGTAGTTTCTATATTAAAGAAGATGTGTATGAGAAAACTGAGGAAATGTTTGTGGATTATAAAAGTTTACTTAAAAAATATTTAAAATCATTTAATCAGAATAAAGTAACAAGTGATGATAAAGGTTCCGGTTCTTCTAAGACCAATAATGGATCCTCTTCTGCAGTCAAATTACCCAAAATTACTATCCCAGCATTTTCCGGACGATATATAGAATGGGCAACATTCAGAGATATGTTTGTATCGTTAATTCATTCCAATGAGTCATTAGATGATGTTCAAAAGTTACATTATTTAAAAGGACATTTGACTGGAGAAGCGGAGCAGTTAATAAGACAAGTTCCAGTAACATCTGCAAATTATAAACAGTGCTGGGAACAGTTAGAGAATAGATACAATAACAAACGATATTTAGCTAATTGTATTTTAAAGAGATTATTTAGCCAAAGGTCTTCAAATAATGAATCGGCATCCGCATTAAAAGATTTATTAGATACCACAACTGATTGTATGCACGCCTTAAAAAATCTTGGAGTAGATGTAAATTCGTGGGACATCATTATAATACATATTGTTAATTATAAATTAGACCAAGAGACACGCAAACAGTGGGAGCTGAAGATATCTGCTGAAATTTCAAACGATCTACCTACTTACAATCAGTTTTCTGAGTTTCTACAAAGTAGATTTAGAGCTCTAGAATGTATAGAACCGAGGCAGAAGTCTTCAATTCCTAATAGCGGATCATTTCCTAAAACAAAAACTTGTATGCATGTGACTACTAATGTAGTTTGTGAATTCTGTTCCGAACCACATAAATTATGCTTTTGTACGAAGTTTGCAAAATTAGACTACAGTAATATTTACGAATTTGTGGCAAAAAATCGTCTGTGTTTTAATTGCCTGGGCGGCAACCACTCTGTCAAGTCTTGCCAGAGTACTGTTAGTTGTAAAGTTTGTAAAAGAAAGCATCACTCCCTCTTGCATCCAACTGGTAAAAAACGTCCTGAGATCTCAAGTTCTGTCAATACATCAAGTAATGTTGAATTAGTAACTAACGACGATAAAGTTGAAACGGCTTTAGGTGAATCGTCATCTAGTAATGTAGTGTCATGTTTTTCGACGGGTCAAATGGCAGCTCATAGCCAAGTGTTGCTAGCTACTGCACTTATACAAGTTGATGCTTATAATAATGAGAGAAGATTGATAAGGGCATTGCTTGACCAAGGATCGCAAGCATCCTTCGTTACAGAATCAACTGTTCAGTATTTGGGAGTTAAGAAGATTCCAGTGAGAGGGACTATATCTGGTCTGGATGGAAACAAGAATGTAACTGTCAAATACATGGTTCAACTAAAGGTACGTTCACGTGTTAAACCTGAAATAGTAATTAATGTGCAGGCGTATGTATTAAAAACAATTACCACGTTACTACCAAGCAAAAAGGTAATTGAATTAGACTGGTTAGATTTAAATGGAATTCAGCTAGCAGATCCACAATATCATACTCCTAACAAAATACATATTTTGTTAGGAGCTGAAGTGTATGGGCAAATTATTGAAGATGGGTTAAAACGGGGACCTCGAGGCTTACTAGTAGCTCAAGCTACGTCACTGGGATGGATACTTTCTGGGACTGTCGATGAGATATCTAACTCAGATACTAATATTGTAGCCATGCATTTATGTACAGATGACAATAATCTCCTCAAGAAATTTTGGGAGATCGAGAATGATCCTCATTCATCAAAACGAATTTTGACAGAAGAAGAAACTTTTTGTGAACAAATATATATGGAGACCACACAACGAGATAGTACTGGAAGATACATCGTGAAGCTTCCTTTTAAGTATGAAAATCGTAAACAGATAAAGAGAGATTCTAGAGAAATAGCTGCTAAACGATTAAATAGATTAATGATAAAATTAAATAAAAATAAAAACCTGAAAGAAAAATATATAGAGGTAATGGATGAGTACTTACGGTTAGGTCACATGGAGAAGATACCTGAAACAGAAAAGAGTAATCAATTAAGTTTTTACTTACCTCATCACGCGGTCGTTAACAACAACAAGGATACGACAAAGGTTCGTGTCGTATTTGATGCTTCTGCAAAAAACGAAAATGGCGTTTCATTAAATGACATTTTAATGATAGGGCCAAGACTGCAGCCTGAATTACGCCATTTAATCATGCGATGGAGAAAACCTAAAATAGTCCTAGCTGCTGATATTAACAAAATGTACCGTCAAGTCAAAGTGTATGATCAAGATGCAGACTACCAACGTGTGCTTTGGTATAATAATAAAAATGGACAAATACAAGATTACAGATTAAAAAGACTTACCTTTGGTACGGCGGCTGCTCCCTACTTAGCAGTGAAAACACTGCAACAAGCTGCAGTAGACGAAGGTATAAACTATCCAAATGTAGCTGAAAGGGTAAAAACTGATTTTTATATGGATGATCTTTTGACGGGGTGTGATACAGTAGAAGAAGGTGCTATTATTTATGAAGAAATGAATGAGCTATTACGAAGAGGAGGGTTTGAATTACAGAAGTGGATGACTAATAGTGAGGAGTTGTTAAATAAAATCAAGCAAGGAAAGGAAGAAACACATGAAGGGTTCAAGCTAAAATTAGATGAAGTAGTTAAACTCTTAGGACTTACCTGGAATCGATCAGCAGATGTCTTTCGGTACTCGGTAAATCTTCCTCCGGAATCTGGGCCTGTAACAAAAAGAAAGATTATTTCGGAAATAGCAAAAATATTCGATCCGCTAGGTTGGGCAGCTCCTAGCGTGATCATAGCAAAGGTATTAATTCAAAGGCTTTGGATTTTAGGAGTAGGATGGGATGATGAAATTCCAAATAATATAATTAATGAGTGGTGTACTTACCGCAAAGGCTTGTCTCAATTGAAGAAAATTGATATACCAAGATGGTATGGATCTCAATTCACATCCTCACAAGTCGAATTGCATGGCTTCTCAGACGCGTCGAAGATAGCGTATGCAGCTGTAGTTTATATACGATTAATAGATGAACAGGGTAATATCCACGTTTCTTTGGTTTCTGCTAAGACTAAAGTTGCACCAATCAAACAAATTTCAGTTCCTAGATTAGAGTTATGTGGTGCAGTGCTTCTGACTCGACTATTAGTCGAAATAGCAGAGATTATAGGTGTATCGAAGACTGATATTAGAGCTTGGACAGACTCTACGGTAGTATTAGCGTGGTTGAATAGCCATCCGAGCAAATGGCAAACTTTTGTTGCTAACAGGGTATCCGAAATTTTGTCAACTTTAGATTCTCAACAATGGGCACATGTAACTTCAAGTCAAAATCCTGCCGATTGTGCGTCACGAGGAGTTAGTCCATTGGATTTATGGCAAAATACGAGATGGTTCAATGGACCGGAGTTTTTATATAAACACGAAGTGCAATACGAAAGGCCGAAGAGCATTGTTACACATTTAGAAGAATGTAAAGTTCACGTAAGTGTCACGGAAACTACAATTTGGGATCGGTATAATTCTTTAACAAAATTAATTCGAGAGGTCGCGTATTGTAAACGTTTTCTGAACCGGCGGAACAATCAGGAGAGATCAAACACTGCTTTTCTTTCAACTAAGGAATTATCTGGTGCTTTAGAAACATGTATCAAGGTTTGTCAAATGCAAAGTTTCAGTGAAGAGATAGCGCATATTAATAGAAATAAAGAGTACAGTACAATTAAAGGCCCACTGAAGTCCTTGAATCCTTATATTGACAATCTTGGAATTTTACGTGTTGGAGGACGACTCGAACAATCCCAACTCAATGTAGACGCCAAACATCCAATATTATTGCCAAAAAGGTCATCCTTGACGCATCTTATTATTGCTGATGCCCATATGAGAACGTTACACGGAGGTCCGCAACTTATGTTAGCCTTTATCGGAACTAAATATTATATTTTGAGCGCGAAATCATTAGTTAAGGCGTATGTTCGCAAGTGTGTCAAATGTATGCGCTACTCTGCCGGTACTTCTACCCAGTTGATGGGACAACTACCCACAGCAAGAGTGTCGCCAGGAAGACCTTTTCAGTGCAGTGGCATTGATTATGCAGGACCTATAAATATTAGAACTACAAAAGGTCGCGGACATCATTCTATGAAGGGGTATATTTGCCTTTTTGTATGTATGACCACAAAAGCCGTTCATCTTGAGGTAGTTAGTGACCTTACCACACAAGGATTCTTAGCTGCTTTCAGACGATTCGTTGCTCGCAGAGGTTTATGTACAGACGTGTGGAGTGACAATGGGACTAATTTTGTCGGTGCCGCCCGCGAATTACGAACATTGTTTGCTGCAGAAAATAAAAACATTGCAAACGAGGTCGCTGAAATTTTAGCCACGCAAGGAACAACGTGGCATTTTATCCCACCGCACTCACCTAATTTCGGAGGGATCTGGGAAGCCGGGATAAAATCCACTAAATTCCATCTAAAGCGATTAGTTGGCAATTTGACTTTGACATACGAGGAGTTATCTACAACTTTGGCTCAAATAGAAGCGTGCTTAAATTCACGTCCTTTGACCAGAATAGATTCAGATCAAGATACAATTGATGTTTTGACGCCGGGGCATTTTCTTGTTGGTGGTCCATTGCTAACCGTTCCAGATCACAATTTTGAAAAGTCCAATATTTCTAGTCTTCAAAGGTGGCAGTTGATACAGAAGGTGACACAAACTTTTTGGAAACGGTGGTCTCAAGAATACCTTACAAGGTTTCTTCATCGGTATAGGTGGTCATATCAAAGGCCAGAACCTGAAATTGGGGACATAGTTTTAATAAAAGAAGACGACTTACCTCCTTGTCGATGGCTACTCGGACGAGTAATTGCCAAACATCCGGGTAAAGATAACATCACGCGAGTAGTGACTATACGAAATCAGAATTCAATATTCAAACGCCCCACATCCAAATTATGTGTGTTACCAGTTACTGAATAAAATTGTTATCTATTAGTTATTAAGCTATGTCAACACTTATTAGTTAATAAGATAATAAGCATTAGCCCTTGCCGCCAAATTGTTAGTTTATTTTTGTCATTATAAGCATGGTGGGCGGTTTGGAATGTGAAGGACAAAATTATGTCCTTGGTGGGCGGAATGTATAAGTTTGTATAAAATTGCTTAGTACCTAAGGTTAAAACAGATGGCGCTGCCAAAAAATTAGACGGCGCTATAATTTGATTTGTTACGTAGGCTAAATACATGTATTATTATTGGAATAAAATAACTTTCTCATGTACAACGATCCAACATCACTGGTTTTGTTTTATTTCGACACCAGAGGACGCTCGTCCATAGTTCAGTGCTGGATTGTGTGTACACTATCTATATTAATTCGACAGCAGACAGATTTCGGAAACTTGACTTCTCTATTAGATAGCATAGAGAAGTCAAGATGATAGATTGGTGTGTCTGATTATTGTTAGAATAGTTAATCTATCTAGCTGACACGGCGAACTTCGTACCGCCTAACAGTCGATTCCTTAATTTTTTAGTTTTTTTAATACTTATTTTGCTATTCGGGACGCCGGGTCAACTACAAAGACAATATACAATACTAACGTTACTCAATTGTTTTGCCTTCCTGGAACCTCTCCACTAACACTTGAACTTCATGGTATGGCATTAAATTTCAAATTGACTTTTTAGTATTGCTACGAAACGTCTGTATGAAATTGTAGAAAAGTGTTGTTTTTACACTTTTCCAGGCAATTTTTTAAAATTTTTCTCTCCGTAAGAACCATCCTCGTACTTTAAGGAATGTTCTAAAAAAAGAATCAGCGAAATTGATTCAGCTGTTCACGAGATTTGCGAATAGCAACACATGCAGCGAATCATTTTTATATTAGAGCTATACAAGTATGTAATAATAATCTACTACCACTGTTCTCTTAATTACAGTTATGTAAAAAACAATCAAATATGTATTAGCATAAAGTTGAATATGTATTTTTGTAATAACAATTCCTATACTGAGAAAACTTGTTTTAGGTTATAACGCCACGGGTTTAAGTTACAATACTCAAATAAAAACCAACAAATAATGATTTTATTAACATTTATTGAATAAATAATACAAAAATGGTTTTCAGTTTTAATATTCAAGAATTTGAAACAAAATACACTCACATAATCTGAGCCAATAACTCCTACCAACAATATGTAATAGTTACATACGATAGTTGTTTCAATTGTTATCAAAACGATTAATTACATCGAAAAATATCGTCGCTACCGCTTACAGTAACATGCACATTAAATACATTATGGAATTATCAGTATTACATAGTTGAAATGTTCATTATACATTACATTAAATTTCAATTTCACGCGTAAATACATGATCAGGTTTACATCGTAAACGGACGTAAATGCTTGGAGAAATGCGTCCACGGTAACAACAAAATGCTTCAACTTCGAAGTATCTCTGACTAGCCACATGGTAAGATTTTGCAAAATTACAGCAGCCGTTCTATAAAATAAAACTAATCAACAAATTTAACATCCACGTGTCACCGAGCTCGCCGGTACATGCGCACGCGCAGGTAGGGCGATCAATTTAGCTAATCGATAATGCGACACCACTACTCTCGTTAGTTACACTACACCCATTGCAATGAAAAGATGAAGGAATATAATTATTGCGATATTATTATTTAAAAAAAAATATCAACACGAGCGAACGTAAACCCCAGATCCCCCTAAGTACTAACAGTGAACTTATACTAAAGACTGCAATTGGTCCAGACCATGGAACAGTGTCTTTTTGCCTAATCCAAGGCTCATACTATGCAGACGGTTTTCTCCCTGCGGAAATTTGCTAGTTACCATCGCCGCATATAATTATCAGTGTTAACAACCACAGATTCAAATTAAATAATGGCGGCTTCTCACGTTTAAAATTCGAACATGTATTTTGTATTTGCGAAAATTTACGTGCAGGAGTCCGCGACGGAAGAACCGTTTATGTAGCATGAGCCCAATAAAGAGTTCCGTGATCGGACGTTAACTGGTTATACATTTGACGGGCTAGGCCATAAATGTGTCGATCCTGATGGGCGGGCCCCACAAAAACTGCCAGCTCTCGCAATCGAGAGGAAAAGGAAACGGTAAAAACATCATGCCTGCCATAACATTTCCATATTGCATCAGGATCGACAGGGGCATTCTTGTTAACAATTCTACATTAGTCACAGACACGATCACGTGGTCCGGCCACACGCCGCATTCGTCACGATTCACCACCCAGGCATCAGATCTATAAATTATCTATGAATCTCTCTACATTATACACAATTACAATAAATCCTTCGAGTTAATATATCATCAAACTAAACCAGTTAAGTGTACTTTATACAGAAAATATTCCCAAGCATCCGTCTCCACTTGCACAGATAATTTTGTATCGCGGAAATACAAACTACCATTATTTAAACACAAATAAATATGTACAAGGCTTACCGAAAATAATTAGAAACTTAGAACCGATCAAAGCTAATGTTTTACTCGTGATTTTATTATCTTATAATTAATCTCGATCAGGCCTCTAGGCAGTGGCAAATGAAATTAATTTATTAAAATAAAAAAAAAAAAACACAATTACGTCGTGGTATGCATCAGAGAGAATGAAACAGCATAATTGGCGTCACGTTCTTTCCTCACACATGCGGTAACGTAGACGTGCCTGGAAATGGATTTTTTGCCACATTGTCTAAAAGCCTGAGTGCTTTCAATTATGCTAGAGACACAGGTATAATACCCACATAAATTTTGGCATATTATGTTAAATTTTACATTACCTAAACGGTTTTATGTGTGATGTGTGCCCATATACAAATCAACAAATCTATCAAATACAATCTATCAAATTTCAGGCCTAATCTCGTTCAAACTAATTGATTGATAGTTACGAACCGAATCTCCAGAGGTTAAATATAATAATTTACAAGACGAAGACCGGTAGACCGTGTGACCTCACTGCTGACGTCTCCGGTGAGCTGATGACACATGAAGGGTAACACATCATGGGCCATCAAAAAGTTGTTGGGCGAGTCTCAGTAGTTGAAGAAGGCGAGCTCACGAAATCGAGACTCACTGGTCACCAGGAGGACGAGGGCAGCCGCGACCCTCGCCGGAGACCAGCTCGGTGGAGCGAGCTGCGTTAGTAGTTGGGCCGCGGGACTCAGGAGGCGTACATTCGTTTGATGTCTTCCTTGTACCGCTCCTGGATGTCTTTCCGCTTGATCTTGAAGGCGGCGGTAACTAGCCCCATGTCGGGGGACCACACCTCCGTGCACAGCTTCACTGCAGCAGGAACCTCGAATTTCTCCAGCCCACCTGTAACGATATACAGCTTTAATATACTCATTATTCACTAAAATCCACTAAACCTAAACTCCAGTAAAAGTAATGAGAGTGCCACCTTAGTTTCAATAATGACAGTGAATAAAAAGTGTAGGGGATAGTATAATTTCCTAAAATTCTCCGATAATCCGATATAATCTCGGAAAATTCATGTAGATATTTTTTTTAATTAAGTGATAACCGTAATAATGAAAAAAAAAACCATATGATAGCTGTCAATACTTTTCATCTGGTGCATTGAAAAATTCAATCGACTTCAGGTCGTATGGACTTGCAGGACTATCCTTAATTTATGTAAAACACCAATTCTCAGTATCTATTCTTATCCACTTATTCATAAAAACATCAAACCTCTAATAAACCTATTGTAGCTATTGAACTGTTGTTTTTTTTTTTTTTTTTGCAGTAAATTCTTAATTTGAAAAAAGTGACAAAGCACTTCAATAGGTAAAATAGGTGTGTAGGTTTTAGTTTTTATGTATTAGGTGGTTAATCTATAACACTGTTATAGTTTGAATACTAATCTGTAATCAGAGTATTTATATTAATTTTATTAAAAAAAAAAAAAAAAAAAAAACAATAATAATAAGTTATAACCTAAATCTGTGGGTAAACAAAATTGGACGTTAGTGTGATGTTCCATTTCAAGTGAGACAAACATACTTTCATTTTGTAGAATTGTTCGCGACATTCTTATTGATTGTTAGCATAGCTATTAGTATTTTAATCATGTAAATTGTTACTTTTGTTTTTTTACAAAAACATTTAGTTTGAACAGCATACTGATAGATCGAGGTACTGATGATTCAGCTCAAGCAGTCAACGGAACACTCACACTTCCTGGCGTGGTCGGCGAGCTCCTTGACGACGGCCTTCTCGACGGCGGTGTTGTGGCAGAGCTGGTCGAAGTCCCGGTCGGGCAGGCCGAGCCGCGCGGCCAGCTCGGCCAGGTGCCGCGGGTTGGGCACCACCAGCGCCACGGTGTACGTCTTGGAGCTGTCGCCGTACACGCAGATGTTCTCCACGATGGGGCACGTCTTCAGCTCCGCCTCCACCTTGCCCAGGGACACGTACTCGCCGGCCTGCAGCTTCACTAGGTCCTTCTTGCGGTCTGTTAATTATTATACATGCTTATTAACTAAGTAGGTACATTAAAAAAATAATAATAACAAATGGAGAAATTTGTATATACGAATGGACGTGATTCGAACCTTATCACTTATCACAAATGGTTATACAAAAACCTACAATTTATCATCAATTTATCGATTCTTAAAAAGTTATAAATTTCAATATCATTTATTTTAGCGCTTTTTAACTGTCCACTGCTAAATATAAGCCCCCCTCTAGGAGGGGTTGTGCCAATAGTTGCCACGCTTGGCAGGTAGATTGGCAACTGCAGATAGTCTTTAGAGGCGTTTTAAGGGAGATACTGCTGCCCATCCCTCGCCCTCTCTTAGTCACCTCTTACCACACCTACGGGAGGGTGGAATATTCTATGCTGGGATCATATGGAACTAAATTTCCATAGCTTATCATTAATTACAGAGAATAGTAATATATATAACTTACCGATGATCTTGATGCAGCCGTCGTGATGCAGTTCGCCGATGTCCCCAGACCTGAACCAGCGAATGCCGTCCTCCTCGATGAATTCCTCCCGGGTCTTCTCTGGATTCTTGTAGTAGCCCTCCGCTACGCAATCACCTCCGATCACGATCTCGCCCTGTCGGTGTTCAATAGTATATATAACATTATTATATTCAATTGTTCAACTTAGAATGACAAACAAGCTGACGACCCACCTGATGGAAAGTGGGAACCGTCGCCTATAGACATGAGCAGTACCATAGACATAACAGAGACTCTTTATTGTTTCTTCCAAAAGATTACAATAGTAAAGTTATTATAAATATAAACAATTACAAGAAATAATTACAATGAGAAAACAATGGCCGACTTTATTGCTATAAGCGATCTCTTCCAGGCAACCTTTAGATAGAGAGGAGTAATTATAAACAGTTTGATCGGAGGCACGATGTAAACACGATGTAAAATGTAAAATACTGGATAGTATAATGGAAATTATTGCGCCCTCTCTTGCTTTTATTTTCAATAAATGTATAGATGAAGGTAAATTTCCTAATATAATGAAAATTAGTAAAATCATACCGCTTTTTAAATCTGGAGATAGGAGTGACCCAATAAATTATAGACCTATATCCATACTCCCAGCACTCAGTAAAATTTTTGAAAAAATAATCCTTATGCAACTTGTCAGTTATTTCAATTTAAATAATTTAATCCACAATAGTCAATATTTTCCAAAGGTCGTTCAACTACAGACGCAGGTGTGTATGTGTGTGTGTGTGTGTGTGTGTGTGTGTGTGTGTGTGTGTGTGTGTGTGTGTGTGTGCAAATGTGTACCTCAAGTGGTCCATTTTTATTCCTAGTTTACATTAATGATCTCCCATATACCATGCAGGATAGATGCGGCATGTATTATTTGCAGACGATACTTCATTGATTTTTAAAGTTAATAGAATGACTAATAATTATGACGATGTAAATAGTGCTTTGCGGCGTCTCCTGCACTGGTTTACAACTAACAATCTTATGTTAAACGCTAAAAAAACAAAATGTGTTAATTTCTCTCTGTCTAAAAGTTTTAATACTAATTGCAATATTAAATTAAATGACGAATCTCTCGAATTTATAGAATCTACTGTCTTTCTAGGAATCACACTAGATAATAAAACACAATGGGGTGCACAAATTCAAAGCCTTGCAGCGAAACTAAGTTCAGCAGCTTTTGCCGTGCGTAAAGTTAGACAGTACACTGATACTGATACTGCTAGATTAGTCTATTTTAGTTATTTTCATAGTTTACTCTCTTATGGAATATTACTATGGGGAGCGGCAGATATTAAGAATATATTCATATTACAAAAACGTGCCGTTCGAGCGATCTACTGTATGAAGAGTCGTGACTCATTAAGAGAGAAATTCAAAGCGTTGCTTCTCAATTTATATATTCAAATATTCTATATGTTCATAAAAATCTTGACTTATTTCCAAAAAACAGCAATATTCATAATATTAATACTAGATTTAAAGACAAACTTGCTGTCCCCAAGTATCTTTTAGAAAAAGTTAATAGGTCTTTTATGGGAATAGGTATAAAAATTTACAATAAGATACCAAAGGATATGTTGGAATTACCCTTAAATAAATTCAAAACATCTGTTAAATCATATTTACTGAGCAAAGCCTATTACTCACTAAACGATTACTTGAATGACGAGTGTGCATGGCAATAGTTGTTCATGCACTGAATTTTCATTTAATGTTAGACATAGACACCTATATAAATATACATTGTAAATAAACTGGCTTTTAAAAAAAAGTAATTCAATTGAGTTTCTTGCCAGTTCTTCTCAGTTGGATCTATATACCGAACTGGACGGTAGGGAAAAAAATAAAATTATAATGTAAAAATTTGACGTTCATAAGCGGCTAAAATGTCCTACATGAATAAATGATTTTTGAATTTGAATTTGAATTTGAATTTGAAATATATCATGTTTAGCGCGGGCTCCGTGCGTGCGTGTGTGTGTGCGTGCATGAGTGTACGTGTGTGCATGTGTGTGCGTGTGTGTATGTGTGTGTGTGCGTGTGTGTATGATGCGTGCGTGCGTGTGCGTGTGCGTACGTCTGCGTGCGTACGTCTGCGTGCGTGCGTGTGCATGTGCGTGTGCGTGTGTGCGCGTGTGCGTGTGTGCGTGCGTGCGGTACCTGCGGGAAGGGCCGGTTGGCGACGCGGTAGCCGCCCTCGGCCCAGTCGAGCAGGCGCAGCGTGTGCGCGTGTGCGTGTGTATGCGGTACCTGCGGGAAGGGCCGGTTGGCGACGCGGTAGCCGCCCTCGGCCCAGTCGAGCAGGCGCAGCGTGTGCGCGTGTGCGTGTGTATGCGGTACCTGCGGGAAGGGCCGGTTGGCGACGCGGTAGCCGCCCTCGGCCCAGTCGAGCAGGCGCAGCGTGTGCGCGTGTGCGTGTGTATGCGGTACCTGCGGGAAGGGCCTGTTGGCGACGCGGTAGCCGCCCTCGGCCCAGTCGAGCAGGCGCAGCGTGTGCGTGTGTATGCGGTACCTGCGGGAAGGGCCGGTTGGCGACGCGGTAGCCGCCCTCGGCCCAGTCGAGCAGGCGCAGCGTGTGCGCGTGTGCGTGTGTACCTGCGGGACGGCCCGCTTGGCGACGCGGTAGCCGCCCTCGGCCCAAGCAGGCGCATTGCGCGTGTGCGTAATCAATAATCTATGCGGTACCTGCGGGAAGGGCCGGTTGGCGACGCGGTAGCCGCCCTCGGCCCAGTCGAAAATCTGCGGGAAGGGCCTGTTGGCGACGCGGTAGCCGCCCTCGGCCCAGTCGAGCAGGCGCAGCGTGTGCGCGTGTGCGTGTGTATGCGGTACCTAAGGGCTTGGCGACGCGGTTTCGGCCCATCGAGCAGCATAATTATGTATTTTTTTAATATTTTCAAAAACTAATTTTATATATATATTCTTTATTGCACAAAAACATACAGTAACAACAATGTGTATGCGGTACCTGCGGGAAGGGCCGGTTGGCGACGCGGTAGCCGCCCTCGGCCCAAGTTAATACGCGGTAGCCGCCCTCGGCCCAGTCGAGCAATGTGCGCGTAGCGTGTGTATGCGGTAGGCGAACTTATCTCGGCCCAGTCGAGCAGGCGATGTGCGCGTGTGCGTGTGTATGCGGTTCGCGGTTCGGCCCAGTCGAGCAGGCGCAGCGTGTGCGCGTGTGCGTGTGTATGCGGTACCTGCGGGAAGGGCCGGTTGGCGACGCGGTAGCCGCCCTCGGCCCAGTCGGCATAGGATGCGGTACCTGCGGGAAGGGCCTGTACGCGGTAGCCGCCCTGAGTCGAGCAGGCGCAGCGTAGTAGTGCAAGACGCAGAGCAGGCGCAGCGTGTGCGCGTATGCGGTAATAAATATTGTGTACATAAATTATAAATAATTATATATATATACACACACAAGGGCCGGTTGGCGACGCATCGAGCAGGCGCAGCGCGGTGCCGGGCGAGGGCGCGCCCACGCGGCCGGTGGAGCGGTCGTGCGCGTCCATGACGGTGGCGGCCGACGTGGTCTCGGTGAGCCCGTAGCCCGCCACCACGTCGCAGCACAGGCAGATGCGCAGCTGCTGGTGCGTGTCCGGCGCCAGCGGCGCGCCGCCCGCCAGCAGCAGCCGCAGCCGCCCGCCCAGCAGGCCCAGGATCTTGCTGAACATCTGCAACCGCACCGCATACCCGCTCACGCATCGCACATACACAATAACATTCTCAATGCGATATTCAATGTATTGCCAAAATAGAGACTCACAATAGTCTCAAAAGGACTGGCAACATTATTTAATCAATAATCTAAGCTAAAATCCAAACACTGAATGAATCACACTAGATACTTTTTATCCAGCATAATTATGTATTTTTTTAATATTTTCAAAAACTAATTTTCAATCCGATATCATAATGCCGATACCAAAAATCACTTTGTATCATAAAAATTAAATAAAAAAATATTGTACTCACAATCCTGTTGAGTATGGGCGTGTCGTATCCGCGCCGCATCCACGTCTGCTTGTACGAGTACGCCCAGCGGAAGAACGCGCTCGCGAACGGCCCGCTGCGAGACACCTTGTCCGTGATGCCCTTGCTGATGCGGTCCATTATCAACTGGCGACAATCACGTAACATATTTACTGTTTAAACTTTATGAAGTCACTATATATGGTCTATTACAACCTAGATATATAATATTATATATATAGATAGCTAATAACATCTGACAAGTGACTCTTATGTAGGAGCGAATTAACAGACCTTTCCGGATACACATGACAAGTATTTTACGTCGTAAAAGTCGTCAAAGAAGCTAACTTTTTTTTTCAAAAATTGTTTTCAAAATTGTCTATCGTTGCTGTGCAATTGTATTTTTATTTCTACACAAAACTTATAAAACAGAAGGAATTCCATAGCGGTCTTATTGTAGATTCTATTTTCAAATGAATTTTAAAAGTATTCCATATTTAAATGTCAAAATTGTTCTAGTACAGAGCTCAGTGATTGACGTAACAGAGGTCGGTATTTCTTTATCTATGGTTGATTTAATGCCAGATATTTACTGAAGACAATGGCTGTAAAGGTTTAGTCCTTTTGCCTTCTCTATTGATAGAGTAAACAGAACAAATATATATATATATATATATATATATATATATATATATATATATATATATATATATAGATGGTTGTAAAAGATTTTATCACTAAATAGATTAGATAGAAAAGTAAAATAACAGGAATTCAGAAGGATAACTTTCGTGATTTGGAGCTAACTTGCTCTTTTGAAGGTAAAACAGTAAACCAATTTGTGCCGCAACTATTTTGTATTACTCTAACTTATACACAATTTCAGTTTTTGTCGCTGTTTTAAGTTATTTTTTTGTGCATATTATATTTATTATGTTTTTTGAAATTTTGTATACACATACAATATGGAGTGGAAAAGGATATAGGCTGCTTTTTATTGCGGTCACGCAAAGCCGCGGGTAAATGCTAGTACTTGTAAATAACTAACCGGCACTGTGGTCATGCAGGTGGGCTTGAGGACGGTGGCATCTCCGCTGGTGCCCTTCATGATCTTGCTGGAGGAGTCCAGCATCGTCAGCGGCGTCGAGTACCCGATGGGGACACCTGTCACAAAATATTATATAATCCACTTAAATTTTTTCCTTCTTTGTATATTTAGTAAATAATATTATTATATAACAGGAAATAGAATATAAAGGTTGTTGTATGATTTTTTTTTTTTTCTGATGGTAATGCAGACTTTTCTCCTTCAATATAAATTGTAAAAATTGTAAGTTTTACTTATTCAAGTAAGATACAGTTGATACAGTTTTCATATTATTATTATTTAATGATCGATTTCAAACATTTTAGGAATCCGGTTTTGACTTGACAACTTAGAATGGCAAACAAGCTGACGGCCCACCTGATGGAAATTGGTAACCGTCGCCAATAGACATGAGCAGTGCCATGGACATAACAGAGTATACTGTTTTGCCCATGCATTGCCATTCCTGAGGACTCAGGTGTCATTCCTCTGTACCCTGTAAATTCACTGCCATATCCCACCCTTTAAACCGAAACACAGCCATGCAAACATAACTGCTTCACGGTAGAAACACGAATGGGACAGAGGTACCCAAACGAACGACTTTTGTACAAAGTCTCCTTCTGGTGGTATCTCACTACTTACATTTGTAGTCCATTACAAATATATTTATGATTAAGAATAAATCAAGTTAAAAAATTACAAAAGTTATGTTATATTGGGCTAACAGCATAAGACAATTGAACCACAATTGGCAAAAAGACCGCGTAGCTGCTTCTTTGTAGCTAGCCGGTCGAATACTATTATTATTTGATAAAAAAAAAACAGAGTTTCGTGCCTCCAGTCAAATTGTTTATAATTACTCTTCTCCATCCAAAGGTTGCCTGGAAGAGATCGCTCTTAGAGATAAGGCTGCCCATTGTTTCCTTAGCGTAATATTTTCTTATAATTGTTTGTGTTTATAATAAGTTTGTTATTATAATCTTATGGAGGGAACAATTTTTTTTATACCACTGAGGTGGCAAACAAGCATACGGCCCACCTGATGGTAAGTGGTTACCGCAGCAATTACCGTATGAACACCTGCAATACTAGAGGTATTACGCGCGCGTTGACGACCCTGAAGAAACCTCTTTACCCCCCTTTTGAAGAACCCCATGCTGTAGTCTCTTGGGAAAACCTCGGCAGGGAGTATCTATCTATCTATGTACTAACCACCAATGATGCAGAGACTCTCGGCCAATAGTTCGAAGACGTGCGCGAGCGGCAGGAAGCCCATGAGCATGTCGTCCTCGTATATGGGCACGACGTCCGCGAACGCCTTGAGCGTGGCCAGCATGTTGCGGTGCGACAGGATGACGCCCTTGGGCACGCCCGTCGAGCCCGACGTGTACATGATGATGGCCGTGTCCGTCGGCGCCGGCGGCACCGCCTCTGTACAATCAAACATTGCAAATAAGTACCAACCACTGCACCTTTGAGAGAAGGGATTGTTAGTAATGCGGACTATCAGTCTTATTGCTAGCAATGTACCCTGTCAGGTCGACCTCCACGTGGTCCCCCCTGGAAATCATCGAGAACAAATCACTCAGTGGTGCCCCGACATATACCGATAGCGCGGTCGGGGTTACCATTCCATTATCACCCATCATACCAAAAAAATAAGGTAGAACCTACTGTAGTTAATTCTATGCAATTTATCACGATTGAATTCAGCAAAACTTTATTATTTTCATTAAATTATATTGTAATATATATATATATGTAGGTATGCTTTGTAAATTCTTACGTCGTGACAATTAAGCTGGTGATAATTAAAACCGTAATGAATTTATTTTATTTATTAGAAAACATATTTTAATATCGTTAACTTGATAGCTTAGTGATATAACTTAATTAATAGTCGATTAGTATTCCTTAACTAATTTATTATTGATTAATTACTTGATTGATTATTTATAACGTATACGCGAATCAATTAATGACTAAATAGATTATAGATGGGAAGGTTAATAATATCCACCATAATAACAGACATGAATGCTTTTGACGTATATTTATCAACAAATATATATAAATAATATATAAATTGGCTAGGCCAAGTAGATATCTTCTATTTAATACAAAGCGCTTCAGAACAAATCTAGGCCATTTCTCAGCTATTAACAGAATGCAGTTACAGTATAGTCAGTTGTCACGATTGCCTAATATTAATATTAACACGACCTTAAAGAAATTCAAATCCACTTTGTATAGATTCTTTTGTTAAATTTAATCAGCTTAGTAACAGCATGGCGTGTATCGTTGCATATATATATATATATATATATATATATATATATATATATATATATATTTCTTACTAATAATAATATATTATGAATACGCATGTCGTGGCGGCCTTTGAGGCAGCAGTTTATAATGTAACCATATTATCATGTATTTTAAGTAAATATAAATGTATGCTTTGTTGGTTGTCCTTAAATAAATAAATTATAATCAGTGTTGCCAGGTACTTTGGCCACGTGAATCAGTGTGTGAAAAAAACTAAGTTGGTGACACTGAAAATTAGCGTCATGTTTAAAAGCACATGGTCCGAAGGTGGCAAACAGGCATACAGTCCGTGTGATGGTAAAAGGTCACAGTAGCCTATGGATGCTTGCAACACTAAGGGTGTCACAGGAGCTTTGCCGACATTGAAGAAACCCTAATATACACATATTTTACATAATTTTTTTTATACAACTTAGAATGCCAAACAAGCTGACGGTCCACCTGATGGAAAGTGGTAACCGTCGCCTATATAGACATGAGCAGTACCATGGACATAACAGAGTATACTGTTTCGCCCATGATACCCCCATGCGTTGCCCCATTCCTAAGGACTCAGACATTATTCCTCTGTACCCTGTAAATTCACGCCATATCCCACCCTTCAAACCGAAACACAGCCAAACAAACACAACTGCTTCACGGTTGAAACACGAACGGGACAGAGGTAGCCAAGCAATCGACTTTTGTACAAAGTCTTCCTCTGGTAATAATGTATCTAATGTGTGACGCCATTATAATGCTATTATTTTCCTTTTTTTTATTGTTAAATATTTTTTGTAATTTATTAAGTACTAAACAAATATTTCTTTCTTTCAAAGTAAGGGTATCCCATACCTATCATTGACATATCACATGATGCTATCATTGTGAGGTGCAATAAAGTTATTCAGAGTTTGTTCTTTTCAGTTTTGGTTGTAATGTTTTATGTATTTATTGTTAAGCGTGTCGAGTCTCCGATCCGAGAAATAGGTATTGGCGACCCGCACGCATGCTAAAGGTAAAGGAGTTAAGGGGCCGCCTGAAAATCAGCGCTATATAGGTACATCTCGCTGGAGCTGTACGTATATAGCAACAGCTGAGGCGGCTCCTATTACCAGCAACATTAATTGTTTTTTTTTCTTTTTGTTGTTTTAATTTTTTATTTTCTTAATACTGGTAATAAAGGTTATCTATCTATCTATCTGGGTAATTTGTGTACTGTAAGTGATGCAAATAAATTATATATCTATCTATCTATCTATGTACCAAATTTAATTCAAATTCGTTCAGCCGTTTAAGCTCGATTGGAGAATTTTTAAATGCACTCATATTTATAATATTGATAGGATTTAAATATCCTAGCTAAACTTACCAAAGCTGGCGTTTATTCCTTTCTGTATAACCTCCTTGTAGCCAACGATCCTGATGCCGGGCTTGTAGCCCTCCCGGTCGATGGTCTGCAGCTGGTCCTCCATGTATATGATGGTGTCCACTTTGGGCGTCTTGGCGAGGATCTTCTTGAACTTGGGCAGCAGGTCGTGAGTGGTGATGACAGTGGACACCTCCGTCTCGTTGATGCCGTGTGCTATGGCCTCGTCGCCGAGCGTCGCGTAGATTGTTACCACTGGAAATTGATAATATTAATTTAATTTAGGTAATCGAGTGCAGGAAAGGTACTGGTAAAAATAATGTAAATTGACATTGACATGGACATGGACATTGATGCTTCTTTCCACTTGGGTGTTGCTGGAAGAGAACTCTTTTAGAGTCAAGCTCGCCTTTATACATTTGATCACCTCTGTCATGTTTTTTTTTTTATAAATAATTCGTGTGTACATCAAAACGCTATAAATACACTGTATACAAATACAATACACTGAAATTCTTCGTCATGTTCCAAAGAACATAGCATATAGCTGAGTGACACCATTTAAGTGCTTATTCTTTTCATTATTTTTGTTTATTTTCAAATGTTTTTATTATTACGTTTTTTTTTCATGTGAAATTAAGCACTGAATAAATATTTATTTCTTCTTTCTATAATAAAGTATTAAATAAATCAATCATTATTTTGTATAATATTCCATTCTGAGTGTGTATGTGAGGCGGTGTACGTGGTGTGCGTGCGTGGAGTGCGTGGGTGCGTGCGTGGTGTGCGTGAGTACGTGCGTGGAAGCGTGCGTGGTGTGCGTGTTGTGCGCGGTGTGCGTGCGTGCGTGCGTGCGCGGCCGACCTGGGATGCTGAGCTTGAAGCAGCCGTGCGCGGCGAGCATCCACTCGGCGCGCGTCTCGGCGAACATGGCGATGTTGGCGCGCGGCGCGCAGCCCAGCGCGCGCAGCCCGCTCGCGAACTGCCGCGCCTCCGCCTCCACCTCCGTGTACGTGCGCCACACGTAATCGCCCATTTTGAACTGCCGCCACCATCATAACAGTTAGAGATGGCCGCTAGCTGTCATATTACTAGCAACATCTACAGTCACGCGCGTAACCATCGTGGTTAATTTGTAATGCATTCGCCTACATCCTCACCTATCATCCCTCATTGGTACTTTGCCCACTAACGTATACCGATAGAATAAACAGGACTGGCATTTCATGTCCGTCTATTAAAAAGAAACCTTCAATTTTGATAAAAAAAAAATATTTTCCTTGCAAAAAAAAACTGCGACTTAATACAAAATTAATGTGGAATGCAAAATCAGATATTATAATCAAATCAAAACAAACATATACACATACAAAAAAAAAGACTATAGGCAATGAGCATCCATTTGTTTTGGATGTCGGTTATGCCAATACAAAGGGTCGAACTCCCAATAAATGCGACGGACACCGACCTTCTTGAAGAGCCTGCCGTTGGGCTGCGGCTCGTCCTCCTCGCTGAGCACGGTGCGCGTGCCGAGGCAGCGGCGCGAGCCCCAGCGCTGGGCGGCGGCGCGCAGCATGCTCTCCATGGTGAGCACGCCGTCGCGCACCAGCCGCACGTGCAGCTCGCCCGGCGACGACACCGACCGCACCGTCACGCAGCCCGGCGACGACTGCGTGATGCGCGCCTGCGGCCGACGGCACGACACTTAGTATATCACATCACTTGGGTACAAGGATCAACAATCCAAATTACCATTACCCATTCCACCCCCCCCCCCCCTGGAAACCATAGCACTGAATTCCAGGTGTATTCATCATGATAGGCTAACTAATCTATCTTTTCGGGGAAAAGGGATTGTTATAGTAATGGGACTTTACCAGCTCCATTACCAGCAATATATAGGTAGACCTACACGTGGTTTTCCCTGGACACCATGGTTAATTCTTATGGAATTTACCACGATGGGCTGACTGACCTGCCTTTTCGTTCTCATTTATCATATCTCAATGGTGCCCCACAAAAAAAAAAAAAAAAATCAAACGCTTTGCAAATATTTACGCAACTTTTATAACCTTCACAACATTTCACCAGAGGGAGACTTTGTACAAAAGTCGTTTGCTTAGGCACCTCTGTCCTATTCGTGTTTCAATCGTAATGCAGTTGTGTTTGCATGGCTATGTTTCGGCTTGAAGAGTGGGATATGGTGTGAATTTACAGGGTACAGAGTGATAACACCTGAGTCCTCAGGAATGGCAACGCATGGGGGGTATCATGGGCGAGACAGTATACTCTGTTATGTCTATGGTACTGCTCATGTCTATAGAGGACGGTTACCACTTTCCATCAGGTGGGCCATCAGCTTGTTTGCCATTATAAGTTGTACAAAAAAAAAAATTGTAATTATGTGAAATCATTGTAGTTTGTTTCATAATGTTTATTAATAAAAAACATATTGTCTTTATATTTATCAAATCCGTAAACTTCATTGTTGGCGGTGTAGGTTTATTATTATTATACATTGGTTCTTATTACGCTGTTATTAATAAAAGTATGTTTTTTTATTAATAAGAGGCCATGTCACACACGAATGAACACTGATCAATTATAATATATATACAAAAACATTCTTTATATGTAATTGTGAGATTGGAAAATTTACAATTTGGAAACGGGCAAGATTTGTTCTAGTAAACGTTTTGATGTGTATCTATCTTCTATATGTATATCTATTTATTATCGTTATCTATGTCTATCTAACGATATTGTATTATTACGTACGTAGTTTATACATTTTATATAAAAGAAATAAAGAAATAGTTTTATTCAAGTAAAATTAAATTTAAGTATTTTTGAATAGTCTATTTCATTATTATTCGAAACGCAATTTCAACCAAGAAGAACGGGCAAGAAACTCAGTTTTTATATGCAAATTAAAATGGAAAACAAGCTGACGGCCCACCTGATGGAAAGTGGTAACCGTCGCCTATAGACATGAGCAGTACCATGCACATAACAGAGTATACGATTTCGTTCATGGTCCTCCCCATGCGTTGCTATTCCTAAGGACTCGGGTGTTATTACTCTGTACCCAGTAAATTCACCGTCATATCCCACCCTTCAAACCGAAACACAGCCATGCAAACATAACTGCCTTATGGTTGAAACACGAATAGGAGAGAGGTGCTTAAGCAAACAGAATAACGCTTAACAAGAAGATTTTTGTACAGAGTCTCCCTCTGGTTTGCTATTTTTAAGTTTAAATATATAAATAATGAATTTGTGTGCACACAAATTCATTATTTATATCATATCAGATCATACATTTTATAATATATGGTACATAATTAAAACAAATTAATAAAATGAGTCAATTGGAGTGTCCAGAGCAGACTCCCTACAGGAAGCACCTGAAAATAAATGTTACCTTAATCCGGCGCGAGAGGGCGCGCTTCCTCCATGGCCGCTGCACTATTAAGTGAATGGGGAAGGTGAGGATGTCGAAGACCAGCGTCACCGCCTTGATGGTCTTGAGCACCGCCGACACCCACCATGTCTCCGGCCTGTAATCAATTTGGGTTCATTATTAATGGCATTTTCAAGGCAGTTATTTCCAGGAATACATTTACTATGGTGCAAATCAAAAAGTCTCGTTACTAGGTTTGATCAGTCAATTTTGGGCCTATCAATATATCTCAGTTGGGGGAAAGGGATTGCTAGTAATGGAGACTGAGAATCCCATTGCTACCAATATAGCCAGCCAGATCGACCTCCTCGCGGTTTTCCCTGGAAACTATCATGGTTAATTTATGATGAATTCATCATGATGGGCTAACTGGCCTGTTTTCATTTTCATCGATCACTCTTCACTGGTGTCCCGCTAGCGTATACCGTTAGCGCAGGTGGGGTTACCATTCTATTTTCACCTAACTAAAAAAAATATCTTAGTCACGTTAATAAAGATGCGGATAAAAACTTGTCTAATCAAAAAATGAAATCTTTGTAATTAATATTATAATACAAAGATTTGATTTTTGTTTGTAACGGTTTACCCATTCAGTTTCACTCAAAAAATACTTAACAGATTTTGAAAATTTCTTCACCTATGGAAAGCTACATACATTATCAGAAAATAAAATAAAAATAATGAAATAAATAATATATCCTTACTAATATTATATATGAGCCGTGTGGTCCCGGCATAGAATGGACCAGCCCTTCCTTTCCCGGTGTCGTAAGAGACGACTAAGGCGGAGGATAAGGGAGGGCGAGCGTCCCTCTTAAAACATTGTCAAAGCCTTACTACGGTTGCCAACCCGCGTGCTAAGCGTGACAACCGCAGTCGGGCTTTGACAAACCCCCAAGGGGGAGGCTTATGTTCAGCAGTGGACAGTTAAAGGCTGATATGATGAATATTATATATGTGAAAGTACGTTTGTTTGTTTGTTACCTCTTGGCGCCTTTGCCGCTTAACCAATGGCCATGAAATTTGGTACACACGTACTATATGCGATGGAGAAGGATATTATAGTCTATCTCTATCTCAGTCAGTTAACACATGTTGCGAACAATGTCGCGGGTAATGAAATAAAAATAATCTATCCATATAAACCTGGGGTGGGACACTAGTGGTTGATAAAACGGTTTAAGGGATTTTTTTAATAGATGATAATGGCGTAATAACCCCACCTGCGCTATCGGTATACGCTGGCGGGGCACCAGCGAGGGATGACAGGCGATGATGAAAGCAGATCAGTTAGGCCATCGTGACGAATTCCACTAGAATTAACAACGATCGTTTTCACGAGGAACCGCGTGGAGGTCGACCTGATAGGGTGTATTGCTAGCAATGGGTCAGTCAATGGTCAGACCCCATTACTAACAATGGCTTTCCTCCCTAAAGGTTTGGGTTAAAGTAACGCTACGCTTAAATAAGCAGATACTTGATCATATATAAAGTCAGGCCCTAGCGGACGAGTTTAACAAGTTTCCCTGTAAGTACGTAGAATAAATAGCAGTTCTCAGTTTGTAGATGACATAGTTATTTTTTTTATATAAACGAGTTTCGTAATTATGTATATACTATGTACTATGTACACTGTAATTTGGTACTATAATTTACCACAAGTAGCTATATAATTAATGTCTAAAGAAGTATATTTTTGCTTCATTAAATGTTATTATGACTCCCGTTATGCCAAATTTAATATTAATTAGAAATCCCATTAGTGTTATTTTAAATTGAATAAGTAAAATGCATCGATAAACTAGATGTTTTGTTGATATCTGTCACGTGACATATCTGTGACGCCCGTCTCCCATTAGGGTAAGCAGAAACAATGGAACGCCAAATGCTTCGATTCAAACGAACCTCTTTCGCTTCCCCCACATTCATCAATCTTTTCATACGCGTTCGCCGGTTACGGGTACTTTTAATTTGGCTTTTCTTGAGCACGTCGACTATTTGGTCGACATACGACCACCGTCTAGAGCGGCCCCTACCGACATCTTCGTAGATATATTAGATTTAAAATATTAGAATTCAGAATAAAAAATCGTGTATATATATAACATTTTTTTTTTAGAAAAAAAAAAAAACAGCAAAAGCTTCTATGAAAGCAAAAAACAGACATCAATATTTCTCTTATCCGAATTCCAAGGTAAAAAGGAGACGTCTGCGACTCAAATAAGACGTCAGTTTTAAATAATTTTAGTGACTAAAAGTCGACGTCAAAATGACGACTAATTGCTACCTTGATTGGCAACATGATCGACTAACATAGCAACAAAAATCTCCTTCAAATAGCATACGAAATATGGGATGCTATATTTATCAATACAAATTGTTTATTATTAAAACGGTAATAAATCTCAAGTTCAAACATCCCCGTGCCCACACAAAGGCTTGTGGTGGTGAGCCGAGCACCGGCGGCGGCGGCGGCGGCGGCGCGGGTCCTCTGTGAAGGTCGGGCGTGCGCGAGACGCATGCGCGCCGGGTCACGGCCGCCTATCAACAGATGCATCCGTTGAAATCCGTCCTGCCCGAGCCGCGACACTGACCTATCTCTCGCCCCGTTTATTTACACTTTCTATACAGCTGGAATGAATGCAGCGCAGTATAGAATAGGGGCCAGATGGTGCATCGTAAAACAAGATTTTAATGTTCGGTCACGTTCAGGTTGAAGTGCTGAAATAATTTTTAAAACCTTCGTGGTGCATGAATTGGTCACGTGACCGCGAGATTTTTACGAAGAGTTCGAAGGTTTATTTAAGCGATATGCAAAGGAAGAAAGTTCGTAATACATCTATATTTTTGTAAGTATGTTATGCGATATTTTTGCCCGTTCTGAATCGATTTTTTTATTTTTATTTATACAAGCTAGAAAAGCAAACAAGCTGACGGCCCACCTGATGGAAAGTAGTAACTGTCACCTACAGACATGAGCAGTAACCATGGACATAACAGAGTATACTGTTTCGCTCATGATACCCCCCATGCGTTGCCATTCATGAGAATACAGGTATTATTCCTCTGTACCCTGTAAATTCACGCCATATCCCACTCTTTAAACCGAAACACAGCCATGCAAACACAACTGCTTCACGGCAGAAACATGCATGGGACAGAGGTATCCAAGCAATCGACTTTTGTACAAAGTCTCCTTCTTTAACATCGATAGGTTTTACCTCTCCCATGTAGATCTTATGCGCGAATTTCGTAAATATTGAAGATTCCTTTGTCCTTTTTTTTATTATAATAATTTGCAGTAAGTTCCCACTATATACATAAAGGTAATTTACTTCGAAATAACCGGTAATGGAGAAAATAATAAATATGCCTAGATACCGTCAAGAGAATCAAGTACGTATAAGGAAATGACCTCCGTACCTAGTTCAGGCTAACCTAGCGGCGGACCTTACATTGTTTTTACTAAGTAATGTGGCATACCGTGACATTATTGCGTTTTATAATTACGGTGTTTTTATTTAATTAAACATAGCTTCATAAACGGAAGATGGAGTAGACTACAATGGATGTCATAGACAATTTTGTGATGTCTATGGTGTTGTTTATGTTATAGTTGATAGTTATCATTTTCCATCAGGTGGGCCATTAGCTTGTTTTCCATTCTAAGTTGCATAAAAAATTTAATTATGAATAAAATCATAATCGTTAGTATAAGAGACGTTATGGCAAAGTAACTGAAGATTTTGACAAGGAAACATGTAAAATCCCTTAAAATTAAAAAAAGCAAGTGTCAATAGCTATAGCAAATAAGCCGACAGCACACCTATAGACATGACCAGTACCATGGATATAACAGAGTATACTGTTTCGCCTATAATACTCCCCATGCATTACCATTCCTGAGGACTCAGGTGTTATTCCTCTATACCCTGTAAATTCACTGTCATATTCCATCCTTTAAGTTGAAACACAGCCATGCAAACACAACTGCCAGAGGGAGAGTTTGTACAAAAGTCCATTGATTGGGTACCTCTGTCCTATTCGTGTTTCAACCGTAAAGCAGTTGTGTTTCGGTTTAAAAGGTGGGATATGGCGTGAATTTACAGGGTACAGAGGAGTAACACCTAAGTCGTCAGGAATGGCAACGCACGGGGGGTATTACGGGCGAAACAATCTACTTTGATATGTCCATGGTACTGCTCATGTCTATAGTCGACGGTTACCACTTTCCATCAGGTGGTCCGTCAGTTTGTTTGACATTCTAAGTTATATAAAAAAAAAAACTGGTTCACGGTAGAAATACGAATGGGACAGAGGTGCCCGAGCAAACGACTTTGATAGATAAATTAGTATTATATCTAAGTAAATCCATTAATCAGTGTAAGAGAATACCTTGTCATGCCGACAGTGTGTTATTTTATCGCGGCTTATTGAAAATAGAACCTGTTTGAATTCGAGCAATCGATTTAGAATAATCTAGATATTGAGAAGTAAGAGTACATATTGAGAACATTTGCGATGTCTGCGAAAATATATGATAAAAATATAGTATATACATATTATATGTATATAAATATGGTCTAGAAGCCGCAATTTGATAATTAAATTAAGTGATACATTGTGATAAAGTTTTATCTAACCTGTTATGTTTTTTATATCGTTGCGATGTCTATTATGTAAATGAGTATGTTGTAACCAAGTGAATTATTAGAAGTGTTATCATCTAATCAGATATTATAACTCATTGTCGTTAATAATTGTAAGGTATCGATCGATGAGGTTAAGCAACGTTGAGGCGTATCTATTAAATGGATGGGTCACCATCGTTATACGTTAGAAAACATTCGTACGACTTTCACACTGGTGAATTACCTACGATGAACCAACTGACCTAACTTCACCCTCATCATCATCATCCATCCTATCGTCCCTCACACTAGTAAGTACGCCGATAGTGCAGGCGGGGTTACCGTTTCATAAAAAAAAGTCAAGAGACCTAGTACTCTATATGATTTTTAATTTACACTATGTTAGAACACGACTTATTTATTTGCTAGCGACTCGTCCCTGCTTTCACACGGGTGGACATTTTTACATTTTAAAAAGTGGCCATTTAGGCTGCACGCGCGACGGATGCTTAAAAATGGAGTAACTTCTCCCGTTTTCCCAACATTTCCCTTCACTGCTCTGCTCTTATTGATCGCAGCGTGATGAAAATTATATTATAACCTGACCAGGAGTATGAAGAATAATTGTACCAAGTTTCGTTAAAATTCGTCGAGTAGTTTTTGTTTCTATAACGAACATACAGACAGATAGACAAAAATTTTACTGATTGCATTTTTGACATCAGTATCGATCACTAATCACCCCCTGATAGTTATTTTGGAAATATATTCCATGTACAGAATTGACCTCTCTACAGATTTATTATAAGTATAGAAGATTTATAAATTGCTCACCACACTTACAGTACCAAAACGTGTAGTGAGCCAAAGGTTTATTTTACAAACTAAAAAATTTTAAACAACATTAAAAAATATATATCTAATCATTAAATATATCAACATCTGGCTGCTGAGCAATCAGAGAATTGAGCAGAGAAATAGTCTTATAGTTTCCTCTACCGAAAGGTTAGAAAGAAAATGTCTGCAAGCACATAAATTAATGAAGCTATTTATATTCGTGGCCAGTACTAGATGCCAGTCACCTTTGATGTTACGAAACATTCTACGCACACACGAGTGTATACAAGCCCTAAATCAGGTAAGCCTTACATTTCGTAATACGAAGTGGTAAACTCAAACTTTAATTGCTTAATTGGATTTGTAATTTGCACTTTATGGATTGAAGAATTAAATTTAGATTTGTAAAACCGGCTATATTATGATTAGAATTATTTATAGGTATCGGATATTAAATGAAATATATATAATCTACAATATTTTTGTTGATCACTAGTTGTTTACACACATATTTTGTTTTGGATTAGACTGTGGCTGTTCGTTTGAATTGCCTACCAGCTAGGAAAAGTTTGTATTCGAAAATAATAATGGGACGTCTAGGTTTTTCCGGACAATTTCTCCGATTTTTCTCTTAATAAAACCCGAGGTTTTACATAGAAGATTTGGATAAAAAAAAAAGAACTAGTCAAAACGGTCTAGCCGTTCTCGAGTTTTAGGTTTAATTTAAACTACAAAAAATAACTGTTTCTATTTGTTTCAAATTATTTAAAAAAAATTGGCTTTTTTTTTTTAATTTACCTTCAATAAACAGGAAAATTGTTTATTCTGATAAATAGTTAAATAACATTTTATTATCCGATAAGATAGGTGAAAGCATACACAGGCAAAAATGGGTTGCCGTTCGAAATACTCATGTCAAATAAGGATGTATTTATAATATACTGATAATTTTTTTTTTATTGCTAGATAGATAGATAGATATATAATTTATTTGCATATACTTACAGCACACAAATAACATGAGATATAGATAAATTGGTTACAAGGCTACACTCTGAGTTTGTCGCACGCGTCCGTGTAGCCTAGCTTCAGGCTGCAGCTGAAAATCAGTGCTTTGCTTTTAAGCAAAACCATCACTGAGCTGTAGCCTATTTGGGTCACTGCGACACACATGGCGAAACCATATTTTATCTTTTGTTGTATATTTTAAAAAGTGTAAATAATTTAATTGTATAAACATGTCACATGTCATAAATGGCTCAAATAAAAAGTTTATCTATCTATCTATTTATATACGCAAAAAAAGAGATAACACATATAAAAAAGGCTGTTTCTTTTATTATTATTGTTATTTGTAACAAAGAGATGTAATGTATTTGACTATAAAAAAAAAATACGTAAATTATATACATAAAATATTTTCGAATTTATTTCGTTCTTTCATTAATAGAAAATTGGAACTTTTTTAAAGATATGCCCACCCTTGCTAATAATTTGTTAAACTAATGGCTGTATCTTTTTTTTTAAGAGCAAATATATATTTTAGTAGTAGTTAAGGTAGCAAATTTTAGTTGGCAAATCACACAGCTCTATTAACTGACCAGTATTTATGCAGTTTCTTGTTACACAATGTATGACCAATGAAACAAAGTTGCCGCATTACTCAAACCACGAGTATTATTAACCGCATCACTAGTTTCCGTCCGCGTGACTGACTGAATGTATCAATTGACCAAGATTTACTCCTCTGTACTTTGTAATTTTACTGTCATATGCCACACTCAAACCGAAACACAGTCATGCAAACACAATTGCTTCACGGCAGAAACACGTATGGGGCAGACGTATCCAAGCTTTTGTACAACCAGAGGGAGACTTTGTACAAAAGTCGATTGCTTGGGTACCTCTGTCCCATTCGTGTTTCTACCGTGAAGCAGTTGTATTTGCATGGCTGTGTTTTGGTTTGAAGGGTGGGATATGGCGTGGATTTACTGGGTACGGAGGAATAACACCTGAGTCCTCAGGAATGGCAACGCATGGGGGTTATCATGGGCGAAACAGTATACTCTGTTATGTCCATGGTACTGCTCGTGTCTATAGGCGACGGTTACCACTTTCCATCAGGTGGGCCGTCAGCTTGTTTGCCATTCTAAGTTGCATAAAAAAAAGTCTCCCTATGGGATCTATCCTTTTATGATCACTTACCATTAGGTGAGTTAAGATCAAGCGCAAACTCATGTTGTAATCAAAAAGATATAAGGCGAAATGATCATATCAGTAATAAATAAAGTAATATTTATTCTGAAAACGAAGGAAACTTAAAAATCTGTTATTACGAGGCGTCGTATTGTCGTTTGAAATATAAGCTTCGGGGAAACATT